TGGGACGAACTGTTACCAAAGCCATTCTTAAGTTTTTTTCATAATGGCAAGTTACTCTCTGAAGTCAATAATACTTACATATCCCTTGTTCCCAAATGCCAAAACCCCACAACATTGCATGACTATAGGCCCATTTCTTGCTGCAACACTGTCTACAAATGCATTGCAAATCTCTTAGCCACTAAACTGCAGTCTACCCTTCCTCATTTCATATACCAATCACAAGCAGCTTTTATCAAAGGGAGGAAGATAATTGATCCAATTCTTTTGGCACATGAATTATTTAGGGGTTACCACAAGGATTCAAAACTTACAAGGTGTGCTGTCAAAATTGATTTGAAGAAAGCTTTTGATTCTGTAAAATGGGATTTCATCCTCAACAGCTTCAAATTGCTCAACTTTCTAGAAAAATTCATTAATCTCGTACAAGCTTGTATCTCAGCTCCCTCATTCACTAGTGCCCTCAATGGTGAATTTCAAGGTTACTTCAAGGGAAAGAGAGGCCTGAGATAAGGGGACCCCATCTCTCCCTTCCTATTTGTAATTGCAATGGATATATTTTCATCTATAATTAAAAACTATGTGGAAAAGGTTAATACCTTTAAATAACACTAGAGATGTAGAGCCCTAAAGATTACTCATTTATCTTATGCCGATGATTTGCTACTGCTCTGCCATGGTGATATCTTCTCTGTCTTAATTTTGAAATGTGCCCTTAATCACTTCTGCACAATGTCAAGTCTACAAATCAATCTCTCCAAAAATAACTTTTTCTGCTTAGGTATTGACTGTCATATTGAAGCTGCAATTTCTGATCTACTTAGTATTGGTGTTGGGGCTTTTCCAGTGAGATATCTTGGTGTACCACTGATCTCTACAAACTTAAGGTTTGTTCATTGTAGCCTTCTCATAGATAAGTTAACAAATAGAGTTTCTCATTGGACTTCAAGAAGCCTATCTTATGCTGGGAGGCTGCAACTCATTAAATTAGTCCTAGTCTCAACACAAATTTATTAGTCCAGCATATTCCTTTTCCCCAAGGCTGTTATTAATGAATTGAACAAGATCCTTAGATCCTTCCTGTGGTCAGGCCTGAAATGAAGTCATCTGGTGTAAAGGTCTCTTGGGATAAAGTCTGCAAACCAAAAGAGAAGTGGTGGCCTAGGTATCCGAAATCTAGAATTGGCTAATAAGGCTAGCATTCTTCACCACATTTGGGATTTGAAAACTGGTGGCAAGGACAGGTTATGGATTTCATGGTGTAATTCTCATTTAATCAAGTCCAAAAATATATGGTCCATCAACATTCCCCAATCCTGCTCTTGGAGCTGGAGGAAAACCATACAGTTAAGGTATTTAACAAGACAATTGATCAAACATAAAGTTGGCAATGGTAATGATACACTATTTTGGTGGGATAATTGAAGCATTGGAGGTCCACTATGCGTAAGATATCCACTGTCTGTTCTTACTGAGGCTAGGTTCAATGTTAATATCACAGTCAACATCTTCATTGTCAACTCTACTTGGTCATTTCCTGAATGCTTGTCATTAGCAATCCCTGAGCTACTTTTACTACCTCTACCATACTCCTTAAGTAATGACAAGGTCTCTTGGATTGCTTGCAACTCTGGTCAGTATAACTTGAAACACACAACATTATTTCTTGCAAGTCCCTCTCCAGCAGTTCATTGGTTCAACTTGGTTTAGAGGGCACCAACTATCCCTCGCATGAAATTCAATATGTGGCTTGCTGTGCAGTCCAGATTGCCTACCCTTGACTCTAAATCAATAGCACATCATTAAAATGCTTGTGTTCTTTGCAATAGTAATCATGAATCCCATGACCATCTTTTCTTCAATTACCTGTTCGTCTCACCTATTTGGAGATTTATCAGAGACAGATGCAACCTAATCACTCCAAATGTTAACTGGGAAATCCTAATTCGTTGGCTCTCCTCACAATGGAAAAAAATTCGGCATCCAACCTACTACGGAAGATATGCCTCTCAGCACTGATTTAGCATACATGGGAAGAGAGGAATGCAAGGATCTTCAAAGGAAAGAAATCATCCACAAGGGTAGTCTCAAACAGAGTCTGTTCCACCAACAAAGCTATTCTGAAGTTTTTCTTCGTGATTGCTCAAGCTCTCGGAAAATTCTCCGTGAGTGGAACTTGTCGCCTTCTTGTTGCCGTCCGCTTCCCCGTCCTCCAGATTAATATCCTTGAGTTGCATGTATGCAACTCGTTTCACCTGTTTCACCAGAAATTGTGCTATGATAGCTCCAATATCAGTTTCCTTGCCGTTATTTTTATTGTCTACGATGGACGTAGATGGATAGCTCCAATATCAGTTTCCTTGCCGTTATTTTTATTGTCTACGATGGACGTAGATGGTTTGCTGAATTCTTTGGGCTGGGTTTGCCATATTTGGACTTGTATCCCCTTTTGGGTCGGTTTTTGGCCTAAGGACTGGTTGTAATATCCTCTTTTATATATATATATATATATATATATATATATATATATTCAGTTACTTTATTTTCCAAAAAAAAAAAACAAAAAAAAAATGATAAACAAAATAATTTAAACCATCCACCACTTAAAAGATGGCTTTTTAGAGGGGGAGAGAGTTATATTGCGTACGTTTTTTATTTTTGACTGTTCTAAAATAATTGTATCCGTTCAAAATTGTTATATTTTAAAATTTATAACTTATCAATATAATATACAAAAATAAATAAATAAATAAAATAAAATGAAAAACAACACTTTTAAAAATAAAGCAAGTATTTAGAGCTGCAACTATTGGACTTGTGGATCCTCTGCAGCGTGGATAAAGCGTCAAAAATAAAGCAAGTAATAGGAGTGAACAATTTATAGGTGAGTCTCACCGTGTTATTCAATCTTCACCCTTAAAAAAAATACATGATAGATGCTATCTGCCTATCTGGCACTGGATCCTTAGTCGTAATTATTACCATTGAAGTACATAAAACAGACAACCCATTCAATTCCTGACCAGAGAGGGATATATGCAACATATATATATAAGGAATAAATCAAGACATAGGTAGTGGAGGAATAATCAAGTCCAATCCGACGTGAAAGGAAATTAGTTTCTAGGATCTTACTTAGTTTACATATAGGTGTCTTTAGTTGTTTGGAGTTGGAATTTTGTAATTAAAATTTGTAGAATTTTAAAAAAAATTAGTTCAATTTATTTATTTATTTTTTCAAATTCTATTAATTTTAATTTTAATACTCTGATTCAACCCATCCATAATCTATTTCCTAATAAAATACACACACACATATATATAATAAGAAAGCATCCTACTTTAGTTTATTTGATGCTGAGTTTGAAAGCATATGTGTGTGTGTGTGTATATATATATATATATATATGAATGTCTGATTTGTTTTTGATGGGTATAATATGGAAATTACTGTACCCAGACAAGATAGAAGGGACCCATAAATTCTTGTGAATTAATAATTTATTTTCACCGTAAAAGAATGAAAAGAATACAGTTGTGTAAAGTGAGAAGAGAAAGGAGAAAATTCACTTGGTTGTACATATTGGATACAAAATGTGATCCATCCAATTTGGAAACAAAAGGCGGGACATCCAATTTGGACTCAAAAGGTAATAAAAGGGAACATTTACTTGTTTGTATTTTCTATCTCCCAAATTCGATCACCTTTTTATCAGATTTACATGATTATATTCCATACAAGTTAGTTTATTCAAATAGCATTTAATTGGAAAAGATTTAATTACACTTTGAAAAATAGCAACAAAAAATGCATTCAAATTCTTGTACGGCCTCAATTAGCATAATGCGAGAATTGAAGAAAATTATAAAATTTTGGAGTCATGCGTTGTTTCCTATCTTCTATGCCGGCCACAAGGGAATTAATTAATTTCCACCAACATGAAATTAAGAATAAAGTTGATGAGAAGTGAAAGAAGAAGATTCACTTGCTTGTTGTATTGGATACAAAAGGTGATAGATACATATCTTTCCTAATTAGACTATGAAGAATTTCTCCTGTCTGTGTGTTTAATTGAAGGACAAAAATTGATAGGATTTGACAACTCGAACACAAAATTGATAGGATACTATTTTAATTATATTACAGACTTTACATTATATTCCAAATGAAAGAATAGGATTATTATTATTATTATTATTATTATTTTTGGATCCTATCATTTTACACTAATAATATGATGTCATAATGTTTGATGTGTGAAGATTTTCATTATAAATTACTACATTGAATTTACATATCAATTAATAAATATTTTTATTTTATTTTAATAAATAAATACTAAAATAATGAAAACTCTTTACACTTTTAATAATAATGTTTGTGTGTGTGTATATATATATATATATATATATATAGTGGACCTAAGAGCCCCACTGAATTTTTAAAAAAATTATATCTTTATCTATAAAATCTTGAATAATTTTACAAATGCCCCACAATTTTTATTTTATTTATTTATTTATTTTTTGCAGATACACACTTAGCCAAAAATTCCATCATCTCTAGTCTCCATCTTGACTATCTCTCCCTTCGTCTAAAGCTCTCTTTAAATAATTAAATAAATAAATTTATTTTTATTCTCTTAGTTGACAATTCATCACTACTTCATGAAAAAATTATAATTACTAAGACAATAAGAAAAGTTCTAATTAATTTATGGTTGAAAGGTAGAAAACTATCCTTATGTTATATTTAGCAGTGTTACAACATTTAGTTAGTGCAAGAAGAAGTGGGGTGGTTTCTTGCCAAAAACTTAAAAGTAGGGGCGGATGTTATGCAATTTGCCTATTATTTAATTAATACAAAGTTTGAATGTATATTTTCAAATGTTTGGTGAGGTCTGAGTAATTTAAAAATAAATAATACGACCGCGTTTTGCATGTGGCATTATATTTTTGGTGAACTTAGAAGACGACGTCCAAGACTTTTTTTGAAGCCTCTCTCTCTCTTCCAGCACGACAGTTTCAATTCAACAACCCCCACCTCTCTCTCTCTCTCTCTCTCTAACCAAATTGTGGAATCTACGTTTACACAGTTGAGAGTTGGAACCCAAGAAAGCATCAAACGTCAGTTCATACTTTTTACAATGATTCATTTTTATAGAATCAAATTTTATTTTCTTAATGGATTAGTATTTGATTTGTGTTTTGCCTTTTCAACTTTTCTAGAATCAAATTGTGATTAACACGCACCTCTAATCGCATTTTTCTGGGGTTTGATGGAGATTCCCTCTGAGCAACAGATCGCCAGCATATGCTCACACTGGTATGTAGAAAATATGTTTATTCTCATCATTTCATATTTGTTTTCCTTTTATATTACACTGTTTGGTTTCTGAGAAATTGCAAGTATTCACACAATCTTGATAAAGTTGTAAACACATCACTGCCCCATTTAAAATTTCATTTCTCTGTTCTTACATTTAGTATGGTTGGATTTTCGCCTTACTAAAAAAATACTCGGTTGAATTTTACTGAATAACTTGTGACCTGGGCAATATATATTATTTTAATTATGTATGCTGATTATGAGCCTGTTATTGTTGGGTGCTGTTGCAATTTCTGTTTAGTTTCCAAGTATTTGTTCAGAAAAGCTGTTTTATTTATTTATTTTTTATTTTGTTTCATGAATTTTTTTTTTTTTTTTAATTTTTTAATTTTATTGTTCTTAGGGATGTAATCAGGTGGGCTTGGGTTCCTTGTGACCCCTTCTGATACTTTATTTTTATTTTTATTTTGAGTTCAATTGTGCAAACATGATCAATGATTTCGGAAAGCATGCAAATTGTTAAAAAAAATAGATAATAGAAGGGGAAAAATGCAGAACCCAAGGAGATTACTTTTTATAAACATGTTTGAGTGGAAAGCATGAAACACTGCCAGATGAGCACGCAGCTATTATTTGGTCAATGGACATCTTCGTGTATATGTTCCAAGAACTAATTAACATGTTTGAGTGGCCAATAAATAACATTTGAAGGCATTTGATAAATTCTTATGTTTCCAGCAACAAAGCAATTCCTGCTCAAAATTTTGATCTCCACATTGTGCATTGCTCTCGGAACCTGGAAAGATGTAAAATTTGTGGAGATATGATCCCCCGAAAGCATGCCGAGGAACATTACATAAAGACACATGCTCCAGTATGTAACTTTTTTTTATTTTTTATTTTAATTTTTTCTAGAAGTAATAAGAATGGTAATTTCTGCTATTATTTTTTTTGTAGAAAATCAAATAACTGAAATAACTTTGATGAGTTGAAGTTTTTCTCGTTGGTAAAGTTATTGTCAGTAGAGCACATTAGTGCATGTCCGTATTGTTTCATTTGAATTGGACATGTTGAACTCTTATACATGTCTTGTTGCATGTATTGAGATCGATGCATTTTTGTTCATCTCTTTCTTCTCAAGTCCAGTGTTGATACCACCAATCCTTCCATTATTTACCTTGTTCTGTAATTTACAAGTGAAGGAAAAAAATTGCGTAAAAGAATATATAGGGAGACTATTGATTTTGTTCCAACCTTTACAAGAATCAAATTTGGTTGTCTCTCTTCCTCTTGACTCTTATTGTTCAATTTCAACACCAACCTTTAGCATATCATATAGAAAACTGGTTTTCTTGTGTGTTTGGGGGTGGGGGGAATATCTATCAATGATAGAAATTGTTTTCCCATTTGGACAACTTGTTTTATTATTGGAAATATGAAATGAAAGTAAAGTGGACTACATAAGAAAGTGTGGTAAAAGGATTTTATTTTAATGCGGTGCAATGATACCTTTGTAAGGACTTCTTTTACGTTTTACTAGTTTGGTTCTTACAGTTGTTTTTAAGATATGCAGTTACTTTCGTATTGCTTTTGTGGAATAGTCTTTGCTTTGTGTATTAGATGCATTGTAGAAGTTATCATATTGAAGCTTGGATTCTTTTTTTTTTTTTTTTTTTTTTTTGTTTTCCTAGTTGGTACTCAGACACCCACCCTCCAATGAATTGTTTGCACCTAGCAGGAATCGATCACGCTTCATGAGGCACCAGGGCCCAAGTCTTTTCCAACTGGGCCAACCCCTTGGGGTAGCTTGGAGCTTTTTTGTTAATCATGGGATTGAACTTGTTCAGAAGTACCTGGGTAATACCATAATCAGTGTTGGAAATACGGTTGGAATTTTACCCAATATATAGGTAACTCCAACCTAAACCTACTTCTGTTTGTAAGCGACAGGATGAAGAAAATGGGCTCAAGGCAGGATCGGGCATGAGAAATATAACCTGACCTGAAACCTTGACGGGGTTGGGATTTGGTGGTGCCTGCCCTTGTATGAGCGGTATGTTGTGAAATGGTTTCTTTCTATCAATGGATGTAGCTGGTGTGGGACTTTATGAAACACCTTGTAGCTTAGACCTAGTTGAGTTTTCATCATTTCATAGGCTTAGCTTGAAAACAATTACTAAACAGTTGAACCAGATTAGCATTGGGAAGAAATGAGAGGCATTTAGGTCTCTAATTCTCTTTCTGGTAGGAGCGAAGTGTGGGAGGATAGAAAGTGGGAAAGGAAAAAAGGTATCATCGTTTGGTAGGAATGAAAAGGAAAGGGAAAGAACAGCAAAAGGGGGACTTTTCCTCCACGACCACCAAATCCTAATGCTACAAAAGTGTTCAGAAAAGTGGGTAAGGACTTGCCTTTCAATTAATTCCTGTCCTTAAATGTGCAAGTGTATAATAGTATAACCAAGTAAGATCCTTTTCTTCATTTTTTGCTTCCTAATCAGCCAAATAAAAGGAGATAAAGGTTGCTTCATGTTCCTGTCGTTACCTTACCTATATTTCGTAGCTTTCCTTCGAATTTTCCATGCTTCATACGATTGGAGCATACAAGATGAAACCTTCCCAACACTTGTAATCATATGGCATAAGCAAGGCCTTTGGTGTTTGGCGCTGCCCCCATGTTTATTCATCACATAGCAGCAGAGTAATTTTATATATTATTATCTTGATCAGTAAGACACGCTAATTTGCCGACAGAGACTTGAACCCTGCACCACTTTTCTTTTGGGGGTGGAAATAGATACTATTCAAGGTAACAATTGGTGGTGGGGTGTGTGTATATATATATATACGCTGATTATACTATTTTTTTAATTGAACTGTGAGAACAGTTGAAGTTGGTGAGCTGCCTTCCTTGTTCTTTATAGAGGCCAGGCAAGAATTATTGCTAACTGCGTCGTAAATTTCTATCCCTATGTGACGGCGCTGCCCCTTGTTAAAGTGGGATGGGGTTGGGAAAAAAATGTAGGGTCCGGTGTGTTCTTCTTCCTAAACCACATTGATGGAGGAGCATTAGATGCGCTCAAAGAGTGCTCGAGAAGATTATGTAGGTCCATTGATCTTTTGGTCACGCTACGTTTTCATGTTAGTTTATTATTATATAATGCTATAAAGGTCAGACTCTTTATTTATAATTGAGTGGACTCTTGTTATTTTGTTGTGAAAATTAAAAAGGAGAGTTTCTTGGATCTTGTTGATGTAAAATAACAGATGAAAATAAATATTGCACAGCACATCTGAAAAAATTGTTCTATATAATGCTAACCTTAAGTAGTTTTTAAATATTGTAAATTATAAAAATATTAAAAAAATAAAGATATAGCATTGACCTTCCTTTTATTATTATCCAATTCATAAGAACTCTCAGATAAAATACTCATTCGAAATAATTTATACGGTACATTATTATCCATGTTATACCAACCCAAATCATTTTTTGTTGTTGCAATGTTCTCTAATTTATGTGTTGGATGACAAAATATAGTTTTCTCTGATCTGTTTGTATGTATTTGATCATGAGGACAAGACTCATTTTGTTGAACTTATGTTCCGTTAAAAAAATTGACAAGCTTTCTCTGTTATGTGTTATGTCCGTGTTGAAATTATAACGAGAGCAGGTGACTTGTACACTATGCAGTGAGACGGTAGAGCGTGAAACACTGGCTCTCCATAAAGGTGAATTTTGCCCCCAAAGGATTGTTACATGTGAATACTGTGAGTTCCCATTGCCTGCAGTAGACCTCTTCAAGCATCAGGTGTGGTGATTTATGATTTTAACTTTAAAAAAAACCTTTCATGCAACATTTCGACAGCACGTCTACAACTATGTGCTTTTTCATGTCTATTTCAGGAAGTTTGTGGGAATCGTACGGAATATTGTCATCTTTGCCACAAGTATATTAGGCTGCGTGAAAGAACTGGCCACGAAAACCGGTGTCATGGTAGTTTTAATGGTACTACCGTGGGAACTTCCAGGTGGGGAACAGTCTTCCTATCTATTGCACATTTTAGTTCATTGTTTTCCAAATATCAGGCATATTTCATGGAGTCAGTTTGAGCTGATTTTACTGTCATACTATATACTTTCAGCACCTGGTCGCACATATTATTTTGATTTGCTCGGAAAGAAATTGAAATATTTTCCGCTCATTATCTTACTTGCCACAAAAAAACCCAAACAAATAAAAGACAATTACCTGGTTTACATGCTAGCATACAAGCTGTATACATGGTTTAATGTGGTTTCATTACTAACATTGAGTATAATTTGTAATTGGATACCTGCAATCACCCTCAAACCATGGGTATGAATGTTAACACATTGCCTCCTCAATTTCCATATTTTGGTAAAACTTCTCATCCTCTTCTTGCTTGTCATCCTTCAGCCCTCAATCCAGGAAACTTCGATTTAAAACTTTTTACTGTTACATTGTTTCACCTTCTTTTATTTAATCACTGCCTTCTGCTTGAATCTTAATGCATTGCCTCCTTCAATTTCCATATTTTGCTTCTGTCATACTTCAGTCCTCAATTTAGGAAAATCCCCAATCTTACCAAGGGGTCCTTTAGGAATATGTTAGAATTATGAGTGTCCCACCTCATGAGGCTGACATCTCTGTGTCGTAGGACTTGGCTCAACCTCGCAAATTAATCCTAGCACCATATCCTCAATTATACAAATTGTACTAAATTAAGATAGTTGTTGAACTAAAGTTGAAAGATCAACATTCTGGCTAAATTTTCTGTTTGCTACTACATTTTTGAACTTCAAATTCTTAATGACGCCCCATGTGAATGTGAAGGGATTTTATTGCACCTGGAAGAGAGGAAGTCGGTGGAAGAAGGCAAGTGCCTCATTATTTTTCCCGGAAGAACCTTTTGTTAACAATTGCAGTGGCAGGCTTTGCTGTTTTACTTGGATCACTTTTCTTCCAAAGAGAAGCTGATAAGCAATTACATCATTAATTGACTCGGAAAAGCATTCGGTACTCGACTTACATTTTGTTTCAAGAAACATATTAATATATTTGCATGTATCTTAATATTCTGCAAACTATCTATAAGCTCATTGGATGATTGATAATGTGATTTCATACTGTCTTCTCAAAACTGTGTATTGATAACATGGAGTTATGTGGAACAAATCTTCTAGTGGAAATTTGGGACTCAAAATTTGTGAAACTACAGCTTTTACATTATCATAAAGCTAATAAAAGCTATGAAGCAAGGATATAGACATGACATGATCTAAGTCACAATAATTCTTCTCGACGCGGCTTTCAGTCTCTGCACGGGCTCTCACTCATATGCGGCCTTCTTTTGGAAAACACATGATTTGAACCCATCACCATCTTCTCCAAAAGCCCAAATTGCTAAAAGGTGGTGTAAGTTTAATATTTAAATCCTTTAACCTATCCAAATCATGTATATGCACACAAATATCATTGTTTTATCTATAAATAAGAAAAAATAAAGAAGAAATGTGGTAAATTTGTTCACATGTCCAAGTTTAAAAAGTCTGAAAACTCAAAAAGAGAGAATGTACCAGTTCAGTTGGCACCATGTGACCCTTCTTCGCATCTTATCTGACCTGTGAATTCTGCTGTATTATTGTGGTGTACCGCAATGACATTATTAATTAATTAGGTTGCCCGTGAGTTCTTGTTAGGTCCTGTGGCTCTGTGTTGAACCAAGCATCAGCTTTCACTATTTCAAAACTACACATAAACATATACTACTACTATATAAAAATTGTGATTTTATATTGTAATTGTTAGTGGTGTAATGCATTCTTATTTAAAGAACATCGTTACCACCATATCAATAGTTAGTGGAAGACCATAAACCATGAAAAGTAAAAATAATCTAGAAAAGTAATAATAAGATGAGCTCAACAAATGAATGTAACTTTCACCTACCCACTTAAATATTTTTTATTTTATTATTAAAATAGATAGTTCAACAAATGAAGAGATCAATTTCAAATGTTTGAAAAAATTGTTAGAAAAAGAAGGGTTGTTTGAAATGGACCAAGAACAAGTAAAAAAAAATCACTAGTTTGGTCTCAAAGTCCTCTCCCTTGTATGTGTATGATGACTTCATCACACTCATCATTATTCAAACTAATCCATTTTTAATTTCCATCGGATGGGACTAAGCGTTTCTAATTATCATGACACTTCTCTTTGGACTTTAATTTACTAGCTTGCATACGTTTTTGTCATATCTCAAGTACTCTTACCTATTTATATTTTTAGTAATGCTGAAATGAAGTTCAAAGAATAAATTCAAGTGACATAGAAGTAATCAATATATAGATAGGTAATATTTTACTCTTTTTTTTTTTTTTTTTTTTTAGCATTATGGATGAATAGTTTGTCCATTATATATATGGAGAGTCGTGATACACCGTTCGAACATATTTTACTTGCATTTTTTGAGGCCGAATTCGACAGAAAAATTATTTTTCATCAACCGCATGGATATGATATGATTTAATGAGAGACTCATTTCATGGATAATTATTATTACTCCCCACAAAACACCATTATTTCATAGATAATTTATAAACTCATTCGATAAAAAAAAATAATAATAACATGGGACAAATCCGAAAAGCACTAGCATGGGACAAAAGGTCACGGGATGTCCTTGATAGCCTTGTGTTTTTGTTGGTTAGTTTGGATGAAATTTGTGGGTGTCAGGTGCCATTTTAAAGTCACATCGGTTAGCACTTTTCATCACCCACAAAAGCGTTTCAAGAGACATTGGGTCATGGGCACTACTCCCTACATCTCAAATGGAGTGTCTATTGTTTTTTAAAAATGGTTACGGTTTAATTTCTAAAAGACATAGTTCCTTAAAAGTAATATTTATTTTATTTTTGAAAAAGAGGAAGTAATCAACTTTTGTAAAGTAAGATTAATTATTTTTGGATGAATGTTTTAATTTGACAACTTTATCTCAGATATGGGCAAGTATGCTGAAAATGACACACCCACCATCTCAGTCGTATTAGGCGTGCCTTACCATTTTGTGATATTGACAAAACAACCAAACACAAGGCAAATCTCCAACTGTCAAGTTCTTAGTGACCAAAAAAATAAAAATAAAAAATAAGTTTTTCCGACCATCAAAACAACACTACACAATAACATAGATACGTGGACTATCCGTTTCAAACATACGTAATCAAACAAACAAAACAACGCAAACAAAACAGTTGTACAAAGCAGCAGATGATATGAACACAACAGTTGTCCAACCTCTGAGGCAATCCAAACGTATCCATGAATAAAGTGAAACAGTTATAGCACAGAACAAAAGCCACTGATGCATGACGTTACTTAAGCGTGGAGATATAAATAAAATAAAAGTATTACTTCTGGATATATATAAGTTTCACAACAAAATCTAACAACAAACTTATTGTCAAAGTTGGGCACAACAAACAAACCTAATCATCTTTCAACTATTTCGTGTACCATGCAACTAATTTCAAGCCAGTAATGCTTTGGTGTAGAAATGTGAGATTAAATTAAATATATATGTGGGTGTGGGATGAAGGTGGGGGTAACCTGCCTCCAACACATCCGCGCCAAATCAAGAAATAATATATATATATATATATACATGTATTAATCAATTTTAATGTACACCCAGTAGGGTCATCATCACAAAGAAAGCCAAAAAAAACAGTTATAAGAAATTCCAACTCATATTGTACTATTACCCTCTCCTGAATAATAAATATTAATTTTACTTTCTAAATTATTCCCTGCATAAAAATTCACGACTGTAATACTATTAAATTGGTTACTGGTGGTGTTACAGCTCTTAAATACGGCAATTTGGACGCGTTTAAAAGTAGAAACGACTATAATTGGCTTGTGAAAGACATGGACAGAGTAATAGGTAAAAAACCAGTTTGAATCATATATATATATATATATATTCCAATATTTTTTCCTCAAATGCGATACTTAAATTAAGATGAAAGGAGTACGAAATTTCAACCTTCGAACCAGGGAAATCAAAGTTATCACGAATCGACCCATTTATAAGATCCGATTCAATTACAAGACCCAAACCATTTACACAAACCTGGCCTGCTAAACCTTTACAACAATTCTACTTTAAAAAAACCCTTCAACCATTTACAAAATATAAATATCTAATCATTCTCAAAACACATTAAAATATATATAGCTAAATATAAGTTTCAAACTTCACATACCATAAATCCAAGATAGCGGACAACCTGCTTATAAACCAAAGCCATCAAACATGACCCGACCCGTTGAATCCTTAAAATCATTATTCTATAAAAAACCTAGATTCCCAAATCAGGCCACATACGCATGTTTTTTTTTTTTTTTTTTTGTGTCTTCCCAAAATATATGTGCAGATCATATAGATGGGGAAAAAAATACTAGATTTCCGAATCAGCCCACACGCATAGGTATATTCTTTCATTCTTTTTCAAAATATATGTGTTGATCATATATATGTGTGTGTGATCTGCATTAATAGATCGAGGGTGGAACAAAAAAAAATACAGTTATTTTTTTTATTTTTATAATTCAGGTTGCAAAATAGCCATGGGTAGAGAGAAATACACACATACTGACACACATATATGGAGGGAGAGTATTAGAAAGAGAGACGGGTAATTTAGAGTTGGAGGAAGTTTAATTCAACATCTATACTAAATTTGTTTCAATTTCAAATTTAAGGCATCAGATGATGCCAAACATAACAAAAGAGAAGATTGTGAAATATGAGTTGAATATGAATTAGTCCACTGAGGGATAAAAAAATTAAACTTTTAATATATACATGAACAACTTTCGTATGCAATATATTTATTATTTAATGAATTGACTTTCACTTTATGATTCCAGTTGTTATTAGAAAAAACGACCTAGAACAAAAAAACTTGGATTTTGTATTACTACTGAAAATGGATGAAAAACATTTCTTATTAAAGATATATTACAACTGTATATTTTTTGAAGCATTCAATTTATGGAATGATGTTGTCAGAAACTGATGTCTGAATGCCAAAAATAATTCCAACAATAGAAGGAAGAACAAGGATGAAGGTATAAAAAAAAAAATATTCTCTATCAAAAAGTTCGCAAAACATGCTGAAAATAAATATTGAATTTATTTGTTATAATTACTAATTAAAGACAGCTTTTACGATTTTGATGCTACTGGCAAATTTTGCTGAAAGAGGAAAAGAATATTTAATGAAGAAGAAGAAATTTGATAATGAAAAATTTGATGGGAAAATAATGGGAGAAGAAGAAGATTCTTATATCTAAAAAAATGCAAAATGTCAAAGATGAAAAAAAATCAAAAATAGAAGAAATAAAATGAAGAAGAAGATTTAATAAAAAATGACATTTGTGTTGGGAATATTTTAGTTATTAGTAATGGTGGTTTCTTTATCAACATTCTGTCATTTTAATTAATGTATTCATTATATCAAAATATGTTACATTCTAAATGCCTATTTTTAGTGATTAATGTATTCATTATATCAAATCTGTTACATACTAAATGCTTATATATAGTGGTTTGTGGCATCTCCCATACCATCTAATTACGTAGTAGTGATTGATGATGAAACAGTGAACATACAGAGCAAAAAAAAAAAACGAACAAGTAAGTGATGATAATCTCTTTTTCTTTTAATAAACTATGTTCTCTCTTTATCATTATATCTATTTATTTATATATTTCTCTTACTTTACGTGTTTATGGGCAATGAAATGTTAATAAAGGTTGTTTACTAGCTTCAATATACGCATGTGGGGAGGAAGTATCTGACTCTCATGCCTCGCAATCTCAAATTTTAATTTTCTTACATTTATAAGTATATATTTTATTCATATGTTCTTCATTTTATTAATTAAAATTATGTTTATATATGTACACATTGTGAACTTTTTAATTGCAATCTTTGCATGCCATTTAATTAAAAGATAAATTCTCTATGTATTGTGTAATAAAATATATAAATTCTCCAACAAAGCATGTCTAGTTTCATGATCTCATGATGGAAGAAAATTTTAAAAATCTAAATTTGCATTTTTGTATAAGATTAAAGATTTTGCAAGTGATACAGGATGAGTGAATTGGAATAATTTTGTAATCCAAGAACGGAAAATATAAATAAAACATTCAATATATACATACAGGATGGACGAAAACAAACAACTCTTTAAATCATGAAAGCAAGCGTAAATAAAGTCCAAAATCATGTAAAATTTAAAAACTTGTAAAATTTTCAAGCAAATTTTATGAAGACGATTATCAATTGCAAGCAAGATTGAAGAGTTTATAAGCATATAAAAAAAAGTTGTTAACACGTTTTTAAAAGTTAAAAAAATATTCAAACTCATGAAGAAGCTGTCAACTAAAATTAAGTCTAATAAATTCAGAATTTAAAAAAAGTCAACATTTAAATTTAAGAATAATCGGTTGAAAAAGTAGTTTGAAAATTCCAGGAATGCAGAAAAGTCTGCTTGTTCAAGTGGTCAACATCAAAATGATAACTAGCTAGTCTTCCGAAAGAACTTTAATTTACTAAATTGAGGTTTGATGAAATTCTAAGATAGTCTAGAAAGGTGTGTAATACTAACAGTTGTTGATCCATTGTTTTGTAATCCCAATAAACTAACAAAGGCCATCACCATGAAAGCCCAGTATGTTTGTGTGTATATATATATTATATACATATACATGGATCAAGATCTTTTCTATAACTTTATTTTATTTATTTATTTATTTTTATACCTGGAACGTAGGTTCGTTATGTCAATTATTATTATTATTATTATTATTATTTTTATCATTTTTAAAAATAACAAAATTTGTTTAATGAAGATTAGTTGAACCATTAAATTATGCACCATCAGAATATATATATATATATATATATATATATATATATATATATATATATTTCCACAGCTCAATGGGATAAAACTAGAATGAGTTTCAAAATAATTGTCTGTGAAAATTTTGAATTGGGTCAATCTCACAACCATATGAAATGACTACTCCATTTCCCAATGGGACTACATTTCTTGCGCTTAGGAAAGGATATATATTATTAATTCCATAAGTCAACCATAGATGCCTAAGGCAAGCAAAGTCAGTTTATTTGGTAGATAGTTTTTATTTCATCATTCATGTGTAGTTATTAAAAACCTCTTTAAAATTCACTGAAAGCACTAAATCACTGAATTATCGAGTTATTTGCACCACATATTATAACTTGTGTATGTATAAATTAATTTTTAAGGCATGGTTTAATTTGCAATGAAATTAATTCGTAATGTTTAGCAATATAAGTAAACCTTAACCAGGTATGTGTCATCTTCTCATACTACTTTAACTGCTTTGTCGATCTGTGATGTTGCAGAATCAAACTTTGGTTTGGACAAAACAATTAAGCCCAAGAAATTAAAGGTTGAAACAAAGCGACCGAGAAAGTACCACCACATACACTGCCTTGGCCTTCTTCAAAGGTATGTCCAAGAAAAAGGGTGTGTCTGTCAAATTTTCTTACTAAATTAATCTTATAATTGTAGTTTAATTTATTAGTAACTCATTTGTTGAAGCTTTTTTTTTTTTTTTTTTTTTTTAAACACTTCATGTTGGCTCTTTTTCCTTTTTTGTTTTCCTCAATTTTGTTCATTAATATTTCTGCAATCTCTTCATGACGAATATATGTATGTATATATATCTAAGTGTGTGCTTCTGCTTTTATGTTGTTTGGTTGCAGGATTGATTCAGTAGTGTTGATTTGGAAATGGAAGTAATGGGGTGGAAGAGGCAATGGGGTTTGGTAGTCAGATTGTTTGGGGTTGTAGTTCACTTCTTGTTGCTGACTGAATGTTCTATGAAGACCCCAGTTAGGTTCTTTCCTCATCTCTAGCTTCTCTTCTTTATACATTCACGCACACACTCTCTCTCTCCTGTATATATGTGTGTGTGTGTGTGTGTGTGAATGTATGCTAAATTGAAATATATGTTGTTTGCTTTTGTGCACCCTTGAGAGAGACATTTCACTGAATACTGATGAGTTTGTGGATTTTCTAGCAATTTAGGTAAAACTGCAACAAGTTGTGTGTAAAGACTACTTTCATAATTCATACCAGAGTTCTTTTATGGTTCTCTGTGGTGGCCTCTTTATTCTACACACACACACACACACACACACACTTGGCTCTGTTGTTTTGTTTGAGTATTGGAAGTTTGAAACATGCAAGTGCGTATAGCATTCTTTGCTCATTAGAACTTGAATTCAGTGTTTTTCTTTGAGAAAAGAGAGTTCAAAAAAACTTTTTGGTCATTCACAGATTACTTGTATCTATGTCTTGTTTGTTTTGCTATTACTGTAATCTTTTACTCCACTAGGTATTTTCCATTAATGATAAAATCTCTGATTTAGAAGTGGAAATCCGATGCTCTTAATGAGAAAGGGAGTGTGGCCCCACCAATCAAAACTTTGCAGATTTTCTTTGTTTCATGCATAAAACTCTGTTCATATGAGTAATAGCTACAAATATCGATAACTCCAAAAAAAAAAAAAAAAAAAAAAAAAAAAAAAAAAAGTTAAATAAGGACTGTTGTCACTATTTATGAAAAATAAAATCTCTCTTTTTAAGTGTTTATGTCAATGATTCTTCCGGTTCATATATGAAGTTTGACACTTTTAATAACTTGGAGTGTAAAATGACTCTCTCGTAAGAAGTCACGGCCACGGAATATTTCTTGGTAGAAATTGAAGAGGGTAATATCTCTCTCACTCTTCCTCTAATTTGTCTTCATTGGACTTTTGGAGGTACAGAGCATATGGTGATGTTATTACCAGATATGTGGTGCAATGTTCCTCGCACGCCACACAATACACACTCGTGATCATATTCTCACAAAAAGTTAATTCTAATTTCTAGACACTTTCCATCTGATTCCATTTTCATTGAGTGTGACCACAGTGAATGAATTGATAGCGTGAAAACTCATACACCTTTTATATAAAGGAAAAGGAAGGGTAGATGGAAATCATTTCCACAAGGGAGAGGAAAAGAGGATGGAAGTACATGTTTTTCCATTTCAAATTAAAGAAGCATTTTGTAGTTATAAAAGGATGCAATGTTGAAATGATCAAGAAGTTTGTCATGCAACTATATCTAATAATTTCTGCATGCTTCACAATTATCCCATGTACAAATAATCAATTTCCACTCTTCCTATGGTTGATTAGTTATATTTATCTCTACTCTTTTAAATGTTTTGTTTTTATTAACATTAATATGTGGAGTTTAATTCCTAAATCTGATTTTGACTCTTCTTTTGTGGCTTTCAAATTGCAGAAAATTTTTAGGGAACATCGACAACAAAGAACTCATGTCATATCCTCCTGTCCGTTTGCATCGTTTGGATCAAGAAGTATTTTACTGATTTAATCATAAAATGGAACTTATTTGGCTAATTTTGTGTATTCATGTTTGCTTTACCATCCTAAAAAAAAAAAAGAAAAAGATATATATATATATATATATATATATATATATATATATGACGTGACAAATATATTTACACAGGTGGTAATGGACAATGGCCTTGTCAACGTCTCACTGTCCACCCCAATCGGCACGGTCACGGGTATACAATACAATGGAATTGACAATTTACTGGAAATTAATAACAAAGAAGGAAATAGAGGGTAATTATATCTACTTGCTTTTACTTTATGAATTTTTTTACTTGATTATATATTGGTACATATTTTGATTGATAATTAAACAAAATGCAGGTATTGGGATTTTGTTTGGGAAAATTTGAGACATCCCAATTCATCATATGACTTGTAAGTTATTTCTCTTCCTTTATTTCGAATTACATTTTTGCCTACCATGTAGTAGTAATTAAGAAATATGTCAATTTTTTTAACAAATTACTTGAATGGCCTGTTTTGCAGGCTACATGGGACAAATTTTACGGTTTTAATGGAAGATGAAAATCAAATAGAGATTTCATTTACAAGAACATGGGATTCTTCACTCAATGAGAGTGAAATTCCCCTAAATATAGATAAAAGGTGCAGTGTAAGAGTTAAACATCACCTTATACTTGTAACCAAACAGGTAGTATAATTTAAGTTCTCTTATAAGTAGTAATTTAATTAATTAATGCAGGTTTATAATGCTTCGTGGGTGCCCTGGTTTCTATTCTTATGCAATAATTGAGCGCTTGGAGGGATTTCCTGATCTAACTATCTACCAAGGAAGGATAGTATTCAAGCTTCATCAGGAACTGTAATATATATATAATCTTTCCCTAATCATATATATTATTTATTGAATTAATTAAATTATTTTGCTTAAGAAGCAAATAGTCGGTAATTATTTGCTTTTTAAACAAAATAAGTCTTAAATTATCCTCAATTGATGTGGGACTCATTCAACTATTTGCTTCTTAAACATACGCAAATAGAAACCAAACAGTATTATTTAATGATGTACATGTAATATATGATTAGGTTTCAATACATGGCTATATCGGACGAAAGGCAAAGGATCATGCCTACGGCCCATGACCGCAATACGGGTCAAGTGCTTGACTACAAGGAAGCTGTTCTGTTGACAAATCCATCCAATCCAGCACTCAAAGGAGAGGTAGAGGCCTCCATTTCATTCAGGATCTATATATATATAAATATACATATCCAATTTATTTAATTAACGTGCGATGGTTTTACCTTTCGAAATAAATGAATGTATAAAATTTTTGGTTTAGTGTGATTATGTGATAGGTTGTTTGTTGTTTATGTGGTGTAGGTGGATGACAAGTACCAGTATTCGTGCGAGGACAAAGACAACCGGGTGCATGGGTGGATATCTCCTAACCCGCCCGTAGGATTCTGGATGATCACACCCAGTGATGAGTTCCGAACTGGTGGGCCGGTCAAGCAAGATCTTACCTCTCACGTGGGCCCAACCACTCTATCTGTAAGCCTCTTAAATTGCCCCCAGAGCACAGCATTTAATAATTAAAAGATATGAGAACCGAACAAATTATCTGGGCTGTCAACGGCCCAACCTGTTGAATTGGAGCTCGAGCTTGGCCCATTTGCTCCTTTAGTCTATTTCGAACGAGTTCAAATGAGCTTACAAAACAGATATGAGTTCGATTTGTCTACTTAGCAAACAAATTCGAGTCGAGCCTAAGCTGTTGACGAATAGTTCAGCTCGTTTGCGGTCCAGTCTATGAGAATACATTATGCTTATTCAATTATTAATATTGTTATTTATTTCTTCAGATGTTTTTTAGTACCCATTATGCTGGGGGAAGTTTAGGAATAAAATTTGAAGATGGAGAGGCATGGAAAAAGGTTTTTGGTCCAGTTTTGATCTATCTAAACTCCGCTTCAGTTGATGCTGATAACATAACACTTTGGGAAGATGCCAAAGAACAGGTTTCATTTTGCAGACTTTTGTACAACAACATCTTATTATTCCTTTGCATACAAAATAAAATAAAATAAAATAAACAAAAATACTCACCCTCAATATTTTTATCAGATGTTGATAGAAACCGAAAAGTGGCCATACAATTTTCCATTATCAGAAGACTTCCCTCATGCCGGTCAACGGGGTAAAGTCAGTGGCCGGTTACTAGTCCGTGACAGGTAATTAAATACCAAATGAAATGATGTACGGTTCAGCACCATCTAATAAATTTTCATAATAATGTTAGAAGTAAATATTAGTTGATTATTTCTCATCTTCTAGGTTCATAAATACAAGACTTATGAAGGCGAGTTCTGCCTACGTGGGAGCGGCTCCACTAGGAGATGTGGGATCATGGCAAAGAGAAAATAAGGTGATTTTTTTTTTTGCCCTTTATTTGTTTACTCAACAAAATTTGAAGGTTAAATAAGAGTTTTAAATGTTGGTAATTAATTAATTTTTTTGATCAGGGCTATCAATTCTGGACACAATCTGATGATGAAGGATACTTCTTGATCAAGGGTGTTCGACCCGGTAACTACAGCTTGTATGCATGGGTCCCTGGCATTGTTGGGGATTACAAATATCAAGTTAATCTCATCATCACACCAGGTTTAATTTATATATGAAATATAATTTTTAATCTCTAATATTGACATGTGTTTTTTTTTCACAAGTTAGAGTTACATTTACTTTTAACTATGCATATCTATCTGCTTTGGTGTTTGTAAAATGTGTAATATGTGAGCAGGGTCTGAAATCAAATTGGACGTTCTAATTTATGATCCTCCCAGAAATGGTCCAACCCTATGGGAAATCGGCGTCCCCGACCGAACCGCGGCTGAGTTCTATGTGCCTGACCCCAACCCAACGCTCATGAACCAGTTATACGTTGAGCAATTCGACAAGTTAGCCCTATTGATCCAACACATTTACTTGATCCTTAATGTTTCAAACACAATATAATATGTATATCTATATATTTATAGATTCTGTTTGGTGTACAGGTTTAGGCAATACGGATTATGGGATAGATATGCAGAGTTATATCCTGACCAGGATTTAGTATATACAGTTGGTGTAAGCAATTACCAAACAGATTGGTTCTTTGCCCATGTTAATAGGTGCTGATTGCTTCACCTTGTTGAATTAGCCCAGTCGTGGTTGTAATGTAACTAATTAATCTGGAATTTTTATTGCAGGAACATTGGAAATAAAACATATGTACCGACCACATGGCAAATTTTGTTTGACCTAGAAAATGTTATCGAGACCGGAAATTATACGCTGCAATTGGCATTGGCATCGGCCCACGAAGCTGAATTACAAGTATGAAAATTTGAAGTTTCTTTTGTTTTATAAGTGTTACTATGAGGCATGGAAACAGATACAATACTATATATATATATATATTGATTACCATAGTTTTAGTAGACCTTAATAAAAGTTTTGGTGATGGAAATTTACTGTGAATTCTGAAGATTCGGATCAACGATGAAGAAATGGGAGAACCGAGCTTCACGACAGGGTTTATTGGGAAGGATAATTCAATAGCAAGACATGGGATTCATGGGTTGTACTGGTTGTATAGTGTTGGCATATCGGCTTCTCAACTTGTGAATGGAAATAATACAATCTATTTGAGACAGTCGAGAGGTTCAAGCCCCTTCAAAGGAATCATGTATGACTATATTCGTTTAGAAGGGCCTCCTCAGACCCCACCATAAGCTACCATCGACTTTGTACATGATGCATTAGCTCTTTAGTCCCTCAAAGAAGATATACAACCCAAATCCTCTCTAGTGAAACAGCCGCAAGGAAACATGTAATATTCTTTGGAAGATTTTTTTTTTTTTGGAAACGAATATAATTTCCATTGGCTGACACAAGTAATGCTCTTGATGTATTAGATTAGTAAATTAATAATAGGATTTTATGATATCAATGCAAAATTTTTACTCCTTTTTTTTTTTTTTTTTTTTTTTTTTTTTTTCTCTCCATTTTTTCCCATTTTCATTAATATTCTAGGCCAATCTAATTTTCTCTTTTTTAAAAAAAAAAAAATTATTTATTTATTTAACCACAAAGCATACCAAATTTTATTGGGAAACAATACCAAAAGAGCCCATCTGCAAAGAGTGAAAAAACCACGACATCTCCCAGTGTCCAATTCGCAATCAACATGAATCTGCTCCTTTTTAGTAATCCAAAAAATAATAGTAACTTATCAATGTTGAGTTATAATGTATTAAAAATTTAGTATCTCTTCAACCGTTTGAAGTACATGGTAAGGCCCTTAAGGATTAAAAGTCTCATAATTTTTTAGTATTTTATTTATCAAGATAAAATACACAAAACCTCACCTCAATTTTGATCAAATTATGTAATGCATATACAAAAATTACCTTAACTACATCATATTTTTATAAGGTATGATGCGTTTGCCCATTGATCTAACAAGTCAAAAGATATTTTAAGAAATTCTCATTAAAAATTCCACACGCATCTTTTTAAAGTGTCAGGAAATGTAGATAGATTTAAATTATCTAAAGTGTGGTACATGTATTATTTCATGCTTTGGATCTTTTCTCTAACAATTAAATTTCATTACATATAATAATATTATACTAATGTTTTTATTATGTGATAATTTTCCTTCACCTTGTGGCCGCGGGTCAAACGAGAAGTAAAAAAACACGTGTGCATAATTTTTTTGAGTAATAATTAAAAAAAAAAACACTTCTTATTTTTATTTATTAAAAAAAAAGGAAAAGAAAATGAAAAATGGAAATTGATTGTGATTGACATGTGAGCTTATCTTAACCACACAATCTTGGAAAATTATTAGGAGTCACTATGCTGACTGCTGAGCACTTAGGAGGCACTTCCAATGATGTGGTCCGTAACCTTGTACTTTATTGTCCTCATCCGCTCCACTTAACATTATGATTGCTATCATTCTCATGCGATAAACTATGTAATAATATTAATAAGAAAATGATAGAACATTCGAAAAATATCTCTAAAATAATTAATAAATAGTGAGGTGAATTGGCACGTTAGATTTAAGGAAAAAAAAAAAAAAAATCTATTTTAACACCTAGTTTTATAGATATAAACTGAGACTCCATATTTCAGAATTTTTTTTAAGTAATCCGGAGATTTTGGAAGTTTATTATTTTCACTTTTTTTGAATTTTATAGGTTTGAAATTCTATTTGATAGATCACAAAGATTTATACAAAAAATTATCAAAACTATATAATAAAATAAATAAATTAAAAAAATTCAATTCATTCGATTCTACCATCACCATGTTTTGCCCTAATTTTTGCTTTCAAAAATTGTGAATCTGAATCGATATTGTGAGAATGTATTTTACTATTTAACTTTTTAAATTTGGGAGAACTTATATATATATATATATATATATATATGTGTGTGTCAGATTTGTGTATTTAATCACTATATTTTCACACAATTGTCTTTCTCTGTTCACGATCATTGAACAAATTTTTGTTCTTAAATAATATTTGCCTTAGACAACATAAAAAAGATAACCCAATAAAATAAGAACATGTGTTAAAATTAAAAAAATAAAATAAAAAATAATGATTAGAAAGAATAAAAATTGACTCTCGCCTATGAAGCGGACACGGATACAGGATACGAGTACGACACGACACGGATACAGCGACACGGCAAATTTTTAAAAAATAAAACACGGATACGGCGGGGTACACCTATAAAATTATATATATATATATATATATATACATATATATAATTATATATTCAAAATATAATTACTAGAATCTTGTACAGATAAATAAAACAACAACAAATAAAATCAATTTCAATAATTTCATCTTTGTCATAAGAAAAATATAGACAAGACAAAACAGAAAATAAATGAAAAATAAAATTAATCCAAATTCCAAACGAAAATGTGCAGAAGAGACATAATTATAATGAACTAAATATGTATATGAATAAACATATATACTTTCAGTCTTTCACAAAGTTTTGCTCATATAACTTAAATATATATATATATATATATATATATATATATATATATATATATTTTGTTCATAAAAAGAAATAATTGAAGAAGAGGAGAAATTTAGAAGAGTGAGAGAAAATAAATTTTGTTTCACAGAAGTATAGGACCGTGTGTCCGAGCCATATTTAGACACTTTACAGAAGTGTAGGACACGTGTTCGAGTCTCGAATACAGATATCAATGTCCGAAAAATATTCGACACAGGTATAAAACCCCTAAAAAGAGTATCCGTACTTCATAGACTCTCGCGCAACGCAAAAGATCTGTCACGCAATGCAAAAAGATCCCAATGCAAAATATCCCCCGCAAACATATTTGACATATTTGACACACTGCAAAATATCCCCGCAGACATATTTGACTCACCGCTTGGGCCTTGGTGTATACGCGAAAAGGCTGACACCTCAAGTATGTTACTGTCATGTCAAACAAATGTAGAAGAACCTAATATAACGTAAAAAACAAAATCCAAGACCATTTCTCAGTGAACGAATTCGCAATAACAAGAACAATCCAGCGATGTGACAGACTGCCACCACTACTTCCTTCTATTGCTTTTTGGGATCAAAATCCCAGCCCAGACTGCCCCCATTACTTCGGTGGTGTCTTTTAGGCAACGGGTTCAACTCCACGTCCATCCATGATACCGACTTAAAATTTGAACGTATATTGGTAATTTTCTCTTTGGAGGAGCTAATTGAATAGTTTCTTTAAGTATTTATTGTTTGTAGTTAATTATTTATTTATTTATTTTTTTAAACTTAATTAATATTTTATTAGATCACCACATCATGAGAAAAAAATTCTTAAGTATAAGGCAAACATTATTCTTTTATTATTTTTCCTTTAGTTTAAGCAAAAAATTATAGAGGAGTTTATTCTATGAATCTTACCTTTTAAAGAATTTGACGTAGTCAAATCACGTCACGGTTCGATAATTATTTCGAGAATTAAATTCGGTTACTCTATCACTATTCCATATTAATATTATTTCTATTTTAAAATACATGATCGTCTTGAAAAACCGTCCGTGACTTACATTTTTTAAAATGGTGGAAGTAATAATAACAAGTATATCATTCTTGTGCCCATGTAATAATAATAATACTTTATTCATCTTAAAATACATTATGACTTTAACAACTGCGACCCACAATTTTTTTTTTTTTCTTTTCCACGGAAGTAAATGGGGGAGAAATTAGAGATTTGAGTTTGATTAACTGTATCATTTGTTTGATATAAAATCTTTCTATCATTTATTTATTTATTTTATTTTTTGGTGGTGTTTTTAAGAGTTGGTAAAATGGTAATTGGTTACAGTATAAATTATCAAATGATACAACCAATCATTAAAAATTAAAATGCAGTTCAAATCATGCGAACCATCTAACAATTTCTATAATCATTTACTCTTTTTACCCTTTTTATTTTATTCGTGATTGTTAATGAGCTCATCGATTTGGTCAGCCATTGAAGTAACCACACACTCTCTCTCTATATATGTACTATCCATAGAATCATACCTCTCTTCAAATTCCACCTATTACATTAATAGTCTTTCACTCTCTCTCTCTAAAATGGCTGATAAATTAGCAGAAGAGCAGCACCCCATGAAGGCCTTCGGTTGGGCAGCTAGAGATTCATCTGGTCTTCTCTCTCCATTCAAATTATCCAGAAGGTATATATATATATATATATATATATATATAATATCATCCTTAATTCTCTTTCTTAACTATATTTTCCTGATCACTTGTCTTTATTATATTCGATTAGTAACCATGTACTAGAAAATATATAATTATGTCAGCGTGAAATCCGGCAAGTTTACCATGAGATCGTTCTCATTGTTCTTGTCATGAGCTCTCTTTCCTGTTACAGATAAGATCAGCATACCCCAAACTTGATCAAAGAACCGAATGTTTGACTATTGTGTATCTTCTACGGTTTTTATTTATTTTTTTATTTTTAGGAGGCCAAGTTGAACTGCCCAACCCAACCTCAATCCGAATCCAACCCGAATTGCACCCGATATGAGTTATGGTCAAAATTCAACCCTAATTTTTTCGGACCGTCCGGGTCGGGTTGACAGGTTGAGTGGGTTTATTTTATTTATTTTTTTTTTTCAGCCTCCCCAATTAGGTCTCATTCTCAACTCTCTCTCTCCAACTGCAAATTACAAAATTTTCAAGAATCAAAAGTTTTTTTTTTAATTCAGTGACTTGATAAGCGACAAAAATCTGTCCGGCCATTATTTATATTCTCTCAATTTTATTCACATATTTTTTGCTCCAGACCCATGAAATAAACTTCCCTATTTTTGGAGTTCCACAGGTGGATGTGCTATCTTGCTTTGTTGCTTTGATCCTTGAGAACTGCCAACTTCCATTTCCAAAACATAGGCATGTTATATTAATAGATCCGTCACCCTTCTTATTTTATAAAATCAGTACTATTGAGATTCGCTATTTGTAAGCGGCGGCGGGATGGCGGCAGAGAGAGAGAGAGAAAGAAGAGAGAAGAGAGAGACTTTTTTTTTATTTTTTTTTTCAATTTTTAATTTTGGGTTGGGTTCGGGCCGAGTCCAACCCGAATATGTTTGGATTTTGACAAAATCTAACCCGATCATGAGTCCGATTTGTGAATTGTATGTTCAAATTTCAAAATTATTGAATTGGGGTTGGGGTTGATTAGCCCGCCTAAGTTGCAGCACTAGTTTTTTAATCTAATTTTGGTATGAAAAAAATTGACTGTTGGAGTTTTCTGTCTAATGCTACTTGCAATTTGACCGTTGCACCTGTAATTTATGGTTAGCCACATAAGGGTAAATATGACCCAATTGACCTTTATGGTACACGTTTTCGGCTTGTTTATTTTACTATTTTGATTATATTGCTAAGCCAAGTTAACAACTTTTAGGATCCACAAATCTTATAAATGGACATGAAATTTTTTAAAAAATAATCCACCCTGATTGTGCCTGACCATGGTGTTAAAAAGATCTTTATTACTGTGTCACAAGTTCGGTATCATTCAATACAATGCTATGCATTAGATGCATTTAATTTATTGCAAATATTTTATGTTTTGTTGAAATTGTTGAATTATATCATCTTGAAGAATTGGTTTGGATTATTTTCAAGTGCAATTCTTAAGGTGGGACTTGGGTTAGCACAATTACCATGAATGTACTGTACTGGTTTTAACCATAACCAGGCTAGAGCACCAATTTATAAGTATGCTATTTGAATAAGAGAGATAAACTTGTATTTTCTTCTTTCGGAAACATGTGCTCTTCTTATTGTATGATGAAGATTATTATGAATTATGGTTATACTGTCATTTGATAATGCTCGAGTATGAATTTTTTGTAGGGCGACTTGTGAGGACGACGTGAGATTCAACGTGCTCTACTGTGGGATCTGCCACACTGACCTTCACTACGTCAAGAATGATTTGGGCTTCACCTCCTATCCTGTTGTTCCAGGGTAACAACTTCTCCTAAGAATAGGAAAAATTTAATTTTGGCCACGAATTTTGAATTCCCGGCCTTTACAAATTTTGCATTAATTTACTGAAATTTGAGGTAGGATTTGACAATAGGTCAGGTGAGAGTGCATATAGTAAGAGATTAAATTCAAATAAACTGGTCATAAGCCCTAAACCAGAATGCTGTCCCTTCAAAATATGGGGCAGATTGACAAGTTCAATCAATATATTAAATTTTCTACATATGTTGGGTGTCACGATCGTAACTGTGGAAGCACATTATTAGCTAATAGTTAGGTTTATTTATTATATATATATATATTTTTTCAGGCATGAGATTGTAGGTGTAGTAACAGAGGTGGGAAGCAAGGTAACAAAATTTAAAGTTGGAGATAAAGTGGGAGTCGGGTTCCTGGTTGGTTCATGTGGCTCTTGTGAGGGTTGTTCCGATGACCTTGAAAATTACTGTCCCAAAATGATACAAACCTTTGGTGGTTTGTACCACGACGGAACCCCCACATATGGAGGCTACTCTAATGAGATGGTTGTCAGTGAGCGCTTTGCTGTTCGATTCCCAGAGAACATGCCACTTGCTGGTGGTGCTCCGTTGCTTTGTGCTGGAATCACCGTATACAGTCCGTTGAAATATTATGGATTAGACAAACCAGGTATGCACATCGGAGTTGTAGGCCTTGGTGGGCTTGGTCATGTGGCTGTAAAATTTGCCAAGGCTTTAGGCCTCAAAGTGACTGTCATCAGTACCTCTGCTAGCAAGAAGGACGAAGCTATAAATCATCTCGGTGCTGACTCATTTTTGGTTAGCTGCGATCCAGACCAAATGCAGGTAATCAATTCAAATCTCATGTTCTTAAAGGTTTATATCATTTGCAGTAGCCACTTCTGCAATTAATTCCTAGTAATTTCTAGGAAGTTCGATAATTTATTATCATTATTTTTAAAATAAATGTTTTATTTGTGAAGGCTGCAATGGGTACACTAGATGGTATCATCGACACAGTCTCTGCCTTTCACCCCATCATGCCATTGGTAAATCTTCTTAAGTACCATGGAAAGCTTATTACAGTTGGAGCACCAGAAAAGCCACTAGAACTACAAGTCATTCCTTTGATTATGGGTGAGTATATGACACTACATGATGTACAATCAAAAAGTGTAGAAGTTGATATTTTGTTTTGGGCTTTGAGAGTACAGAATTGATAAGATATATGTTGTCGACAGGAAGAAGAATGGTGGGTGGTAGCTGCATTGGTGGACTAAAAGAGACTCAAGAGATGATTGATTTTGCAGCAAAACACAACATCACTGCAGAAATTGAGGTTATTCCAATGGATTATGTCAACACAGCGTTGGAGCGTCTCCTAAAGGGTGATGTTAGATATAGGTTTGTTATTGATATCGGAAACACCTTGTCTGTTGCTTAGTGGTCTAATATCACTACCAGCTATCAACTCTTCTTATGTTTCTCTTAAGCTCTCCTATGATTCCTGTCTTAAAACTTTCCTATGATTCCTGGCTTGAATCGACTTAATTTGGAGTCTTGAGCTTGTTTGTATATCTGCTAAAAAGTACTCAACGACTACGTATTACATGAATAAGATATGGTTTGTCAGTTTGAGAAGAAGAGTTGACGAAAACATTGATTTGTTAGTGTTGAAGCCACATTCTGGCCTGTTATATGTGTGTTTGTGCTAGGAGCTCAACCATTTATAGCCATCGGAAACCAATCTTGGCGAGCACAGGGAAGGTCTCTCACATATTCAAGCACAATAGAGGGTTCTTGTGTGAGCTTATGACGAACGATTTGTCTAGAGTCTCCCTCAATAAGGATCTTAGAGAAGCCCCAAAAAATTATATTTTATATGATCTATGGATTAGTGTTATTTTGAAGCTTATGCGTCCGGAAAATGAGAATTACAAGATCAATTTAATTCAAATATCATGCATATAAATATAATTTTTACTCATTTTATCAATAATATGATAAATGTAATAACTAATTTGTTCATCACTTAATATAATGACATTTGTATTTGTTTTTTGAACCTTATATTATTTTTCTAGTAACCAATAATGTATCCCCTTCTTTTTTAAAGAACATGTAAAACTGGCTTGCCACTTAACTTATTCCAACCATGTCCACAAATTTTTACTTTTAATAATAATAAAAATAAAATTTATAAAAACTCTATCATGTGCAGATATCGTCACATGCTGTCACGACGCAATCCAGAGAAGTCACATGCTGTCACGACACAATCCAGAGAAGTGTCACTGTTTTCTAGTTTTTAATAAATGCAGTGATAAAAATACACATCAAATGAATTGCAATACATAATATTTTGAAAAAAAAATAATTGTAAAGTAAAACTGAGTTCTTATTTTTGCGTTGAAAAGAAAAAAACATTCCAGTGGGAACAATTTATTAAAATTTTCATATTTTATTTATTTAAAAATTCAAATAGAATGTAATGAACAAAAGTTTCCTTTATCTCATATCCTTTCAAGCCTTTTCGGAGTGATAAGGAAAAAAATAGGATATAATAAGGTCAATCTTACTAATTGAGTTCTTATTTTGGTTCTTTAGTTTTATATTATGGATAAAGAAATTTTTTTAAAAAAAGTTGCATATTAAAAATGATTTTTCTAAGGTATTTCATTACCCGACTTCGAGAGAAAATAAAAAAGGATTAAATTTCGAAATGTGTGATGCATTATTTATCAGCACACTAAAATTAAAAAGAAAGGAGAAAAAAACATACCGAAATCAGAGAAAAAGATTATGAGAAAGAAATAGAAGTTATAGAATTAAAAAATATATATATTTGTTTTGCTGAAATAAACTCAAAAATGCAATGCAATGAATATGACACTATAATACCTTTTACTGTAATCAGCCCCTTTACACTAACACTCAAATCAAGCTCCTCCAAGTTGCTCAAAGCACAAAAGTCTACAAAAAATGAAAATTTTGTTGTTTATATATTAATAAATTTTATTACTTTATATTGTACTTTGTTTCATATATAATTGGGTGCCCATATTAATTGACAGATTTATGCTTTATGTGGTTAACATCCAATTTATTATTAGCATGAAAAAAATTGGAATAAAAAAATATATATATTAAATAATTGAAGAAATGACTTACCAATTTGAAGTGATGAAAGCACTCTAAAAGATGGTAGAACCTTAGGATGCTGTAATTGTAAAAATTTTAATTCACCATAAGGGCCTTCAACTTGTTCAAGACACAAGTTCAACCCAAATTTACCAATTAGTCTTTCAAATCCTGCAAAGGGGATCCTGTTTCAGTCATTATCTTCACAAATATTTATAACTAAAATTCATTAAAAAAGATCATAAAAAATTTCACCAAATAGGATTTAGTTTGCAAAATAAAAATAACAGACCTTGATTAATTGATTTAAAAAAAAAAAAAAAAAAAAAAAAAAACCCATACGTACAACAAGTTAGCAGTTGCAGAGAGACGGGGGGCAAGCTCGAGAGTTGAGAGACAGCCGGCCAGCGGCTGAAGCTTGCGAACGGCGAACCTGTACTGGAACAGCGGGCGATGGAAACTGAAGGATATGGGTTTTGATTTTTTTAACAATCTGAAATGATATGCCGATATGGGTTTTGATATAGGTAATAGGTTTTGAAATTTTGATTCTTGCAGACAGATAGATAAACTTAAGTATATGGGTTTTGAACTTCTGATTCTTGTAGACTTTGTAGTTTGCAGTTGCAGAGACAGAGAGAGGTCAAGTTCAGAGTTGAGAACGAGAATAGAGACGGAGGCGATTGGGGAGGCTGAAATGATTTGCCCTAAATTTATTTATTTATCATTATTTTATTTATTTATTTTTTTTCTGGTGGCCCATCATCCATGGGCTGAGGCCTCATAAATTTTGAGGCCCTAGGCGGGTCGCCTTGGGTCAGGATCGGCTCTGATCGAATCCTCTGAGTGAAATAGTAGGAGTAGATACACGATTCATAGGGGGGGATTTTATTTTCTTTTCGAAAGGAATATAATTTCCATTGGCTGACACAAGTAATGCTCTTGATGTATTAGTTTATTAAATTAATAATAGGATTTTATGATATCAATGCAAAGTTTTTACTCCTTTTCAAATCTATTTGAGTTTCAACCATTTCTTTCTGCAGAACTGTGGTTTTTTTTTTTTTTTTTTCCCTCACTCTCTCTCCATTTTTTCCCATTTTCATTAATATTCTAGGTCAATCTAGATATCACTTAATTTTATTTATTTATTTAACCATAAAGCAAATCAAATTATATTCGGAAATAATACCAAAAGAGTCCATCTACAAACAGTGAAAAAATCACCATATCTCCCAGTTACAGGTATAATATAAAATTTAAGAAAACTAAAGTAACAAATATTTAGCCCTCAAATTCAAATTATTAATTTATTTACGATTATATAAATAAATAAGAAAAAATATATATTATTTATTAATATATATTATTATTATTATTATTATTATTATTATTATATTTATACTATATATACCGAGTCTATATTTTTGAAATTTATTGTATCACCCTTAAAATAAACTTGCCAAATTCTTTAATTACTCTGGGTCCTAATATTTCAGACAACGCATGACATGCGGCAAAAATGGAGTAGCAGCACATGACTGGTACACCAAAGGCCTATCCAATTAATAATTGACTTAGTCGTTTTCCTATAAATGGGTCCAATTCGCAATCAAAACGGATCTGTTCCTTTTTTATTTTTATTATTATTATCCTCTTCTGTGGGACCACTCCCTTATATATGGCCTCTGCAATTATATTAGATTTTTCTACTGTGTATTTTACTATAAATTAAATATAATAATATAGTTGTAGTTTTTTTTTTTTTTTTTTATTATTATTATTTTTTTTATTAATGTTAAAATGGTACTAGTAATTACTGAGTAATTTGTATTTGGGATATTTATAAATTTTTTAAATGCAACATAAAAATGTCAAAAATAATAGTAACTTATTGTTTGGTGCTCTTTTTTTAAAGAGCGTGCTAGAGTCTCTCGACTCAGAGGGGTTGGATAGTCAAATTATTTTCGGCGCTGACTGAATTCATAATCGGGCTTTTTGTGAATACTGTTGGAAGGCAAGGATGACCCCTTCTGCCTTAAGGTTCTTCAATGTCTCAATAAAGAGAACTTTCAACACTAAAAGTGGAATGGATGAAGGGAGTTTAAACAAACTACATAGGCATAAAGACTTACAAAATAAAAGTAGTCTGACTTTTATTTCATAAGTAGGATTCTCATACAAAGTATAAGAAGCGTTTGATTATAATACTACTCCTAAGAAAATAATTACAATGCAAAAGAAATACTAAGTAAAACTTCTAAGAAAATAAGTACAATACAAAGGAAAAATTAAGTAAATTGTAGAAAATGAAATATTGTTGTGATCATGGAACATTTGCACAAGACTCCATGGTGCTATTTATAAATGTATGGAGCAACAGTTACTTTCAGTAATTTCAAATTTAAATATTATATTTGAATTAAAAACTCAATTTGTCTTAAGTTTATCCAAATGCACTGTTTCCTATCAATGCCTTGTGTGAAATAGAACTCGTTCATGTCGATGAACTGCATTATATAATTAAATCAAGGAGTTATATTTAATATATATCACTATATATATTAACTTAAATTTTGTTTTTAAATAACATCTCAAACATGTTATAGCATCCCTTGTCAATCAGCACCACGTGACTGAATTAGTTAGGTGATCTACACGTGGAAATTATTCTCCTCTGACATGCTACATTGTTCCTAGTCAATCAACACCAATTGATTGAATCAAAACTTCAGCAAAATCGATCACCACCGTGAGACTGAATCCATTGAATCAAAACTTCAGCAAAATCGATCACCACCGTGAGACTGAATCCATATCTTTTCTTCCAATTAATCATCACCATGTGTCTGAATTGAAAATTAAATTTAGAGGGCAACCACTTATAATGTAAGAAAGAAAGACCCCCCGTAAGAATTAAAAATCTCATAATTTTATAGTATTTTATTTATAAAGATAAAATACACAAAACCTCATCTCAATTTTGATCAAATTATGCAATGCTATAAAAAAATACCTTAATTACATCATATTATTGTAAGGTATGAAGCTTATGCTCGTCGATCTAACATGTCAAAAGATATTTTATGAAATTCTCATTAAAAATTCCATAGGCATCTTTTTAAAGTGTCACATTCTGGAGATGTAGATAGAGTTAAAATATCTGAAGTGGGATACATGTATTATTTCATGCTTTGTATCTTTTCTCTAACAATTAAATTTCATTATATATAATAATATTATACTAATGTTTTTATTTTGTGAAAATTTTCCTTCACCCTGTGGCTGCTTGTCAAACTAGAAGTAAAAAAACATGTGTGCATAATTATTTTGAGTAATAATAATAATAATAAAAAAACTTCTTATTTTTATTTATTAAAAAATAAACGGAAAAGGAAAAGAACAATGGAAATTTGGATTGGGAATCTCCAGCAAATATGAATTTCGGTGGAAAGATTTGATTTAGAAAATGATTGTGATTGACATGTGAGCTTATCTTAACCACACAATCTTCGAAAATTATTAGGAGTCACTATGCTGAGCACTAGGAGTCACTTCCAATTCTTAAAATGATCTCCAAAAATTAAATTCTTCTAAAATTTTCTGTAATTCTTTCTTCTTTTTTACCTTACTCTTCTTCTTCATTTGTTATTCTCTTTTACACTATCGACTTTTTTTGCAATCATTTAAATTTTGCTTTTTTGATGACAAACTGGTGAAAATGATAAATAATTCACACATTTGTATCATTTTTGTTACGTTGTACACCATAATACATTTGTTTCATGGCAAAAAAAAAAAAAAAAAAAAAAAAAAAAAAAAAAAGAATAATTTTTACTTAATTTTTTCTATCGTAGTCAAAGAGCTGTAATGGATTTTTTTTTTTTTTTTTTTTTTTTTAGAAAAAACCAATGTGATGTAAATATATGCAATGTTTTTAAAATAATTCATCCATTTATTTTATAAAACATTGCACAACAAATTGGTTATCGAACATGTTTTTGTTTCTAAATAAATCACACCACAAATAAATAAATAAAATACCATTTTGCTTCAACAGAAATTGAAAATGAAAAAATTGAATCTTTTTGTGTGGTCAAAATGGCCCTTAATATTCATATTTTATGATTTTTTTCCCGATTTATTACATTTTATATGACTTTTGATTACTTCATCAGTATCACACTTTCCTTTTTTTTTTGTTTTAAATTTATTGTATTAATGCACTACTAGAAAATAGTTAATTTTATCATATTTAATATAAAATCGGAAAACAAAATTTAAGATTACCATTATCAACAAAATAATATAACACCTGATTATCCGTAGTTGATGTTAAATTATCAAATAATCCAACGAATCACAAACTCTCATATTATTAAAAGTTAACGTAAGTCAAATACGAAAATAAATGATGTGATCTTGGTGTCCAACCATGTAATAATTTTTTGTGCCTATCTTGAATTTTAGACTGCCAAACTTCAATTCTCTAAATATAATTTCTAACCATTCTTGTTTTGAAAAAAAAAAAAACATCTAATAATTTTTTATAATCATAATCGCCTTTTGTCCTTTTTATTTTCTTCTTGGATTAATGAGCTCATCGATTTGGTCAGCCAACGGGCCCAAAATTGAAGTAACCAATCTCTCTTTATGTTATCCATAGAACCTACCTCTCTTCAATTGTCTTCACTCTCTCTAAAATGGCTGATAAACCAGCAGAAGAGCAGCACCCCGTGAAGGCCTTCGGTTGGGCAGCTAGAGATTCGTCTGGTCTTCTCTCTCCATTCAAATTCTCCAGAAGGTGTGTGTATATATATATATATATATATATATGATCCTTAATTCTCTGTCTTAACTATATATATTTTCCTGATCACTTCTCTTTATTATATTAGATTAGTACCCATGTACTAGAAAATATAAAATATGTCAGTGTGAACTGTGACAAGTTTAGCATGAGATCGTCCTTATTGTGCTTGTCACGAGCTCTCTTTCCTTCTATAGATAAGATCAGCATACCCAAACTTGATCAAAGAACCGAATGTTTGACTATTGTGTGTATCTTTTATTTTATCTAATTTTGGTATGAAAAAATTGACCGTTGGAGTTCTCTGTCTAATGCTACTTGTAATTTGACCGTTTGCATCTGTAATTTATGGTTAGCCACATAAGGGTGAATATGACCAATTGACCTTTATTTTACTAATTTGATTATATTGCTTAGCCAAGTTGACATTTTTTAGGATCCACAAATCTTATGAATGGACATGAAATTTTTTTAAAAATAATCCAACCTGATTGAGCCTGATCATGATGTTAAAAAGATCTTATTACTCTGTCATAAGTTTGGTATGATTAAATATTGAAAGACTTAAATACAATGCTATGCATTAGATGCATTTAATTTATTGCAAATATTTTATGTTTTATTGAAATTATTGAATTATATCATCTTGAAGAATTGGTTTGGATTATTTTCAAGTGCAATTCTTAATTTGGGACTTGTGTTATTACAACTGCCATGAATGTACTGCACTGGTCTTAACCATAACCAGGCTAGAGCCCCAATTTACAAGTATGCTATTTGAATAAGAAATATACCCTTCTATTTTGTTCTTTCGGAAACATTTGCTTTTCTTATTGTATGATGAAGATTATTATGAATTATGGTGATATTGTCATTTGATAATGCTCGAGTATGAAATTTTTGTAGGGCGACTTGTGAGGACGACGTGAGATTCAACGTGCTCTACTGTGGGATCTGCCACACTGACCTTCACTGCGTCAAGAATGATTGGGGATTCACCTCCTATCCTCTTGTACCAGGGTAACAACTTCTCCTAAGAACAGAAAAAATATAATTTTGGCCACGAATTTTGAAGTCCGGGCCTTTAATTTTTTTGCATTAATTTACTGAAATTTGAGGTAGCAATTGGCAATAGGTCAGGTGAGAGTGCATATAGTAACAGAAAAAATTCAAATAAACCGGTCATAAGGCCTAAACCAGAATGCTGTCCCTTAAAAATATGGGGCAGATTGACAAGTTCAATCAGCATATTAATTTTTCTACATATGTTGGGTGTCACGATCCTAACTGTGGAAGCACATTATTAGCTAAGAGTTAATCTTAAAATGCTATCTAAGTTAGACCGGGAATTAATCAGCTTTCATTTTGTTTTTTATGTTGGATTTTTGGATTTTTTTTTTTTTTTAGGCATGAGATTGTAGGTGTAGTAACAGAGGTGGGAAGCAAGGTAACAAAATTTAAAGTTGGAGATAAAGTGGGAGTCGGGTGCCTGGTTGGTTCATGTGGCTCTTGTGAGGGTTGTTCCAATGACCTTGAAAATTACTGTCCCAAAATGATACTAACCTATGGTACCATGTACCACGACGGAACCCCCACATATGGAGGCTACTCTAATGAGATGGTTGTCAGTGAGCGCTTTGCTGTTCGATTCCCAGAGAACATGCCACTTGATGGTGGTGCTCCATTGCTTTGTGCTGGAATCACTGTATACAGTCCCTTGAAATATTATGGACTAGACAAACCAGGTACGCACATCGGAGTTGTAGGCCTTGGTGGGCTTGGTCATGTGGCTGTAAAATTTGCCAAGGCTTTAGGCCTCAAAGTGACTGTCATCAGTACCTCTGCTAGCAAGAAGGACGAAGCTATAAATCATCTTGGTGCTGACTCATTTTTGGTTAGCCGCGATCCAGACCAAATGCAGGTAATCAATTCAAAATTTCAAATCTTATGTTCTCAAAGGTTTATATTATTTGCAGTAGCCACTTTTGCAATTAATTTCTAGCAATTTCTAGGAAGTTCTATAAATTTTTTAATTTTTTTTAAAAAAAATGTTTAATATGTGAAGGCTGCAATGGGTACACTAGACGGTATCATCGATACAGTGTCTGCCTTTCATCCCATCATGCCATTGGTAAATCTTCTTAAGTACCATGGAAAGCTTATTACAGTTGGAGCACCAGAAAAGCCACTAGAACTACAAGTGTTTCCTTTGATTTTGGGTGAGTGTATGACACTACATGATATACAATCAAAAAGTAGTGTAGAAGTTGATATTTTGTTTTGGGCTTTTAGAGTACAGAATTGATAAGATATATGCGGTCGACAGGAAGGAGAATGGTGGGTGGTAGCAACATTGGTGGACTAAAAGAGACTCAAGAGATGATTGATTTTGCAGCAAAACACAACATCACTGCAGAAATTGAGGTTATTCCAATGGATTATGTCAACACAGCGTTGGAGCGTCTCCAAAAGGGTGATGTTAGATATAGGTTTGTTATTGATATCGGAAACACCTTGTCTGTTGCTTACTAGTAGTCTATCATTACTAGCAGCTATCAACTCTTCTTATGTTTCTCTTTAAGCTTTCCTATGATTCCTGGCTTGAATCAACTTAATTTGGAGTCTTGAGCTTGTTTGAAATGCTTGTGTTTGTATATCGCTAAAAACTACTCAACGACTGCGTATTACATGAATAAGATATGGTTTGTCAGTTTGAGAAAAAGAGTTGACGAAAACATTGATCTGTTAGTGTTGAAGCCACATTCTGGCCTGTTATATGTGTGTTTGTGCTAGGAGCTCAACCATTTATAGCCATCGGAAACCAATCTTGGTGAGCACGGAGAAGGTCTTTCACATATTCGAGGACAATAGAGCACAGAGAAGGTCTCCGGGATAGACCTTTTCCCGCTTCTTCTCTTAGATAGAGATGAAGAGAAAATAACAAATTGAACTGAAGACTGACAAACAAATCTTCGTTTGAAACACAATATTCTACACTTTGCAGGCTCGACTATTTGTTGCTTTCCTCCCACTTAAAACTCGAACTAAGTGCTTGGTGTTGATGTTGAAAATTTTATTTTTGAACCATTTTTAACAATCTTCAAAAATTTAAGAAAGAAATTAGAAGACATTATATAGAAAAATAGACATGAAGATCAGGCACTGCGTAACATCTTTCTACTTGAAGTCCTCATTTGGTCATTAGGTTACCTCGTGTGAGCCAACGGTAGTGAACATTAGATGGAAGGGGGGAAAAATATATTTTTTATGATCTATGGATTAGTGTTATTTTGAAGCTTATGCGTCCAGAAAATGAGAATTACAAGATCAATTTAATTCAAATATCATGCATATAAATATAATTGTTTAGTTTAAACTGCGAGTAAGTCACTAATAAGTGGATAATAAAAAATAATCAAGAAAAGAAAAAAGTAGAGATTTATGTAAATTCATTGTTTAGAGTATCCCTAATAGGCTCTTCGAATTTAGGCTCTCCAAATTTGCCACATCAACAATTTTCAATACCTACGTCAGCATTTTCCATAGCCACGTCAGTGTTTGAAAGTCTTCAAATTTTAACTATCGGATGTACTCCAATGATGCATTTTCGCTCTACAAAAATATTAATATTTTAATAAATTTATTTTTTTAACTTTTTCCAAACGGTTATATTTTTAAAACGGCTATATCATACAAAAAAATTTAAACAATACAATATTTATTATTAAAACGGCTATATATGTCCGAAGGAATATTTTTAAAAGTAAATTTTTTAAAAAAAAACACTTTTCTCTTCTTCTTTTTTTTTTACTTTTTTTTGACCAAAAAAGCCTTTAAGGCACTGTTTGTGTCAGCCAAACAGTGCCTTAACGGCTCTTTGGTTCAATTATTTGAGGAAAAAAAAAAAAGACCAAAAGAAGCCAAAAATCAGTTTTTTTTTTTAATTTTTTACAGACAAACAGAGCCTTCGAGTTTATTTCATATCCTCTCAAGCCTTTTCGGAGTGATAAGGAAAAAAACATAGGATATAATAAGATCAATCATGCTAATTGAGTTCTTATTTTGGTTCTTGAGTTTTATATTATGGATAAAAAAAAAAAAAAAATTGCATATTAAAAATAATTTTTCTAATGTATTTCATTTCTCGCCTTCCAGAGAAAATAAATAAAGATTAAATTTCGAAATGTGTGATGCGTTATTTATCAGCCCACACAAGAGAAAAAGAGAGGAGAAAAAAGGGTCAGAGAAAAGAACATACCTATATCGGAGAAAAAGATTATGAGAAAGAAAGGGTACAATTCCAGTGGTTGGTATAGTAAAGTGATGATCGAAACCCTAATGATCGGAAAAGGTATTGACGACAGTCATAAAATCCCTCTTTCTAATTTGTTATGAAGATGTGTGTGACTGTGTGAATGTGTATATGTGTTTGTATATATATATATATAGAGAGAGTAAAGTAATACAAATTCGACATCTTCAAATACATATTTTAATATTTTTTCATTAAGATGAAAGTCAATTCTTCCCTAGAATCAACAGTTTTGACCGCGAGTAGCGTTAACAGAGCTACTCTTTTGGCGGTTAAATTGCAACGAACTATGCTTTCTAAATTATATCAGTATATGACCTTTCGATATACATACATATATATATAAGTGTATCTATACCTCAATACTCTTGGAAAATGCAGCCACGGATTCAATTTTCTATATCACTCTTTCCCTGAAGCAGATTTCTGTCACTCTCTCTCTTTCTCTCTCTAACAATGACTCAGAAATCACAGGAAGAGCAGCACCCGGTGAAGACCTACGGATGGGCAGCTAGAGACGCATCTGGCTTTCTCTCTCCCTTCAAATTCTCAAGAAGGTATAAATGTTTCTGCATTTCTATTTTCGTGTGTGTAATGCTTAAATTTGTGTTCATTGTTCTTTTTGTGGTTGGTTGTAATGTGATTCTATTATGTATACATTTACATGAGGTCCCTTAAATTACTAAGTGACCTACTCTGCTCAAATAAGTCCAAGACCCTCCCATCCTTACCCTGCCATATGAGAGGCAAGACACTTGTGACATTCTCTCCCACCCAATGCCCTCGTCGCAGTTAAACCACCCTATTAGGGATTGGATCTGCTCCGCTCTGATATCGCTTGGTACTTGCTTTTCGACCTAAAGATTAAGTTGCTAGGTGGTTTTACCTACCTGCCCATATAAGCCCAAGGTCCTCCATGTCTCTGTCCGACAAGACCACTTTGACACTTGGCCAGTTAATTATCTTGATTACAATGCTATGTTAACACTCTAAGGATCCATTTTATTAGTGGACTTGAATTTTAATAACAATGTAACATACTATTCTGGACCAGCCGGCTCTGATTAGAAATTCTTAATTTATCAAAAGTTCTGATATAATTTGGTCCATTAAAGGACTGATATTTGGTATACTTAAAATAAGTTTAATTTTACAAATTATTAATTTTTTATTGAATAGTTTGTGTAATCTTGAAGGATTTGGCCCAATTTTATTTTTTTATCGTCATAGAAATATTGCATCTTCCATTTGTATACATATAATCCTAAATTAATGAAGTACAGATTCCACCCACCTAGCAGGACTTGTCTAAGAATGGTGACCATGAACTATTGAATTGTTAATCCTACTCATGCTTTTACCATTGATAATATGTTATTTGGACAAGAGAAAATTTTATATTTTGTGTTCTTACAAGTATGTACTCCATTTGTTGTATGATGAAGATGATGACGAACGATTGAGATATCGACATTTGACAATGCTTGGGGTATGTAATTTGTGTAGGGCAACTGGTGAGGACGATCTGAGATTTAAGGTGCTCTATTGTGGAATCTGTCACACTGACCTTCATTTCATCAAGAACGAATGGGGCGTCTCCTTCTATCCTATTGTACCAGGGTAAGACCTCATTTTAGTAGAAGTGTTATCTTTCCCAAGACTTTACAAGTTTGGCTGTTGAAACTCTTGCATATTCTAATAGATTAGTGATGGATATAATTCCAGTTGGAGCAAGTTGTACATCTATAGTAACACATGTACGACTAGCCTGAATATGACCTGTTATGTAAACAGGTCATAGGACCTAAATCTCCATACGAACCTCTTAAAAATATTGACAGGTTGGCCATTTCAGTCAAATATGAGCAAGCAAAAAACACCTTAGAAGGACAGCTTATTAGCTTTTTTCTTTCTTTTATTTGTTTCTCCCCCCTTCTTTTCTCTACTCAATCCACTTCAAGTTACTGTGAGCTATGCCTCAAAACAATAAATTTTTTTATATGTTAAAAATTCCATGTTCTTTTATTAGTGGTGATTGGAGTCCGGTAAGAATGCAATTATGATGCATGGTATATCTTTTGATAAAAATCGAAGGCTTTGTTCTTGTTCTTTTAGAAGGTTGAGGGATAATGATCAAGGGCTTGCAAGACCGGTCTTCGCATTGAGTTACCTTTTGTAAACCCTTGAGGTGCCAAACTACCAATTACCAGAGCATAGAGTTTAATATGCCAGTTAAAAGGACATAACTAGCAGTAGCACACAGAGTTTGAGCAATTTAAATGTTCTTTAAACATTCTCAATCAAATTGTTCCAATCCGTAGCTCTAAGTGCACTCGATCTTTTCAAGTTCAATAAGCATGTAGGCCATATATCAACCCTGGAAATATGAACCACTTGAAGCCGTTCACTTCGTATTTAATGCTCTATTCTTAGAAAATCCTGTTAAAGTTTTTTATTTAGTTACGCCTATATTGGCTTACCCTGTCGGAAAAATAAATAAATAAAGAGGAATTGATTTGAATTGCTTATAGTTTTCTCAAAATATTTAAAAATAAAATACAACATTTGGATGTTGGTTTTGCCTAAATCAACAAAAATGTCACCCTCATAACACAATTTTTGAAATTTTACTTTGTTTTGGTTACATAATGCGTAGCACAATTTTTGGAATGGTTATTGTCTAGGTTAAATTAAAATAGCTCTTACAAAATTAATGACCAAATAGCACATAGATATTGCAAAAGCAGTGACCTTGGTCAGAAGTAGCGGGAGAGGTATATCCCTCTACTTTGCTTCACTTCGCTCATCAAAATACAGTTTTCCGAAATGCCGCTTGAAAGTAGATGTCGGTTCACTGCAAGAAATTCTAGCTCACCAGCAATTTGGTGTGCCCATCACCTTGATGTGTATGATAATTATTAGTTAATGCTAGTAATGTAAAAGAGAATAGTGATTTTCTTTCTTATCTATGCAAATAAATGGGTCCTTATCGGCGCTTTGAACTTCAAAAGCAATTTTAATATTCCTATTTTTCTTGGAATTCTTTTCTTCTCATGAACAAGCATTTATTAAAGTGCCACCAAGGCAAACGGAGGAGAATAAGACCTCCCCATTACAAAACAACTAAAGAACACCCACTTCCAAGAACTGGCAAGCAGCATTAACAAGAAATAATCTTGAAAAGGAAAAACATAGCAGCAAAGAAAGAAGCAAAACTCCCTCCTTAACCACTTTACATTAACAGATTCAATCACATTACTAGAGTCATTAAAAAACTGAACATTTTTCTTGTAATTCTTGCTCCTGCTCTATGCTTTACTTACAAAGTCTTCTTATGAAACCTCCAGCATTTTCTGTTATGGTAAAATGGAGGGTATGTTTGAAGTTTCCCTGAAGATCAGTAATATGTTAGTGTCACAAATTTAACTGTATGAAGAAATTAGCGTTTCTGTTTAACATATTAGAGCACAAAATAATCTTGACATTTCGAAGTTGTATGTCATATCCTAAGATTCCTAACTATGCTAACTTTTTTTTTTTTTTTCCTAGTTATCCTAACTATGCAACTTAGCACAGAAATACTTAGAATTCACCAGGATGTGCCATAACATTGTGTCATTGGCTTTTGCAGGCACGAGATTGTTGGTGTAGTGACAGAGGTGGGTAACAAGGTAAAGAAATTTAAAGTTGGAGATAAAGTGGGAGTCGGATGCGTGGTTGGTTCATGTGGCTCTTGTGAGGGCTGTTCCAATCACCTTGAAAATTACTGTCCCAAAATGATGCTAACCTATTGTGCCATTTACCACGACGGAACCCCCACATATGGAGGCTACTCTAATGAGATGGTGGTCAGTGAGCACTTTGCTATTCGATTCCCAGAGAACATACCACTTGATGCTGGTGCTCCACTGCTTTGTGCTGGTATCACTGTGTACAGCCCTTTGAAATACTATGGATTAGATAAACCTGGTATGCACTTGGGAGTGGTGGGGCTTGGTGGGCTTGGTCACGTTGCCATAAAATTTGCCAAGGCTTTTGGGCTGAAAGTGACAGTGGTCAGTACCTCTCCTAACAAGAAGGAGGAAGCGATGAAACATTTTGGTGCTGACTCATTTTTGGTTAGCAGTGAGCAAGACCAAATGCAGGTAACCGTTCTCATTTTTTTTTTTTTTTTTTCATAGTTGTACTTGCACGCATATGTCTCTACTAAAGCTTGAACTCTTGACCTCCCTTTAAAAAGTAAACACCTAATACCGCTAAGTCACTGACCCGTTGGTAGGTAATCGATTTAAATATTATATATTTTAAGTGTTATGGAATAAGGACTGAGTAGGAGCTTATGAGAATAAAGAAAAAATTAATGACAAGAAAATAAATAGGCACATACACAAATGAAACAAGGATTTATACGTGGTTTACCCTCACAAATAGAGTTACGTCACGGGTAATGATGATTCGTATCACTATAAAAAAGAAGATTACAAACTGAAGAACGTTTTGGTTCTTTCTCACAATAATCTTTCTTTTCACACCACTCACTCACTAACAAAAAAGACTTACACAATATTCTCAAGAAATACCCCAAATAGTATATGATTTACACAAAGAGTAAAACTCGCCCAAATAACCAACGGGTTAGTGGCTTAGCGGTACCGGGTCCCTACTTTCTATAAGGAGGTAAAGAGTTCGAATCTCGAAAAAAGTATGTGTGTGTGAGTACCAACTAGGAAAAAAATAAAATAAAATAACTCGCCCAAATACAAGTTTCAAGTATTACTTGAAGATTGCACGCACAAAAAGATTTTCTCACACATAAAACTAATAGACTCGATCCAAATTCTCTTAGTCTTGGATCCCTATCGGATTATCATCATGCCTATATTTATAGGCCAATGTTGCCGCCATTAGCCAACAGCGTATCCACCTGCTTTGAACAATCAAACATTCCAGCTCATAGATACCTAACATTTCTTGGCCTTCACTTTTCCTTAACCTCCAAGTTTCTTCGAGCCCACAAACTTTGACTTTAGTCTCTTGAACATTCCAGATTGGTATATACACACTCCTGCATCACTATTGCCTTTGTCTCACATTAAGCAACCAATATTTAGCCCCGTCATAAATAAATTTTAGACAAATTTCTAACATTAAGTCCATATCATCTGCAATTCCAACATTTGCAGTATAATTCCTAGTAATTTGTAGGAAGTTCAGCAGTTTTTCCGTGTAGCTTATATCATTATCTGGGAGTTCATTTTTATTTATTTATTTATTATTATTATGTATTTTTTTTGTAGGCTGCTATGGGCACCCTTGATGGTATTATAGACACGGTATCTGCTTTTCACCCCATCATGCCGTTGGTTAATCTTCTGAAGTTTCATGGAAAGCTTATAACGGTTGGAGCACCACAAAAGCCATTAGAGCTACAGGTCTTTCCTTTGATTATGGGTAAGGATATGTTACTAATAGGTTCGTATTATTGGTTACGGTCACGGTGTAATGGACTCGGACAAAATCAATGGCCGATACGAATTACGTATCGGACTTGAAAAATGATCGTGTATTGATCGATACGTCGCGTATCTCGAACGATACGGCGAACCATTGCTATATGATGTAATAAAAAAAGTTCAGAATTTGATGTTGCACTTTAGCTTTAAGAGTTCACAAGTTAATAAGACTGTGTGCCAACAGGAAGGAGGATGGTGGCTGGGAGTAACATTGGCGGATTGCAGGAGACTCAAGAAATGATTGATTTTGCAGCAAAACACAATATCACCGCACAGATTGAGCTTATTAAAATGGATTACGTCAACACTGCAATGGAGCGACTACAAAATGCCGACGTTAGATACCGATTTGTCATTGACATTGCCAACAGCTTGAAACCTGCTTAATCTCTATTATATGACTGGCAGATTATCATCTCTAAAGTCTTTGATTAACATCCTAGGACTCTGGGCTTAAATGCACTTGGGATGTTTTAAGTTTCTTTGAATAATGTTTGCATTTTTTGTTGTTGTTGGAATTAATATATAGCTGATTATAAGAATATGATCGATTTTGAGAAATAAAAAGCTAATGAGCATGTTGCGTAATATGTTATATTTTTCTCATTTTTTATTTGCTAGGGAGATATAGAATATAATAAATTACAAAAAAGACTTTTGTTTTTGGTAACATAGGTTGGTTGCAAGCTAGGGGAAAATATGCGGTACAAAGAAAGAAGTAAAGTACTAATTTGAATAATTATGAATGTTTGTAGAGTGAAGACCAATAGCAACTGTTGGTTTCGAGTCCCTGAAAGCATTGTGAGTAATTCTTTGAAGCATTAGGAGAGGAGATGTATTTAATTTTGAATTTTTTCATAACCCTTGTCATATAATTTGAAAGATAGAAAATATATTATTAGGCTATAAGGTTCTTGAAGGGAACAATTGTATTTAGTTTTTAAACATTGGGCATCGGAGACCTAGTAAAAGCAAACAAGGTATTGAACTAGTGTGGATTAACTTTTGCAACAAAAATATTAAATAAACTCCAAATATAGTCACTTTAGCAACAAAAATATTAAATAAATTGAAAAAATGGGCATAATGATAAAAATAAATTAAATTTTTTTCTTTCATTCTCTCTTTTAAATTTTTTTTATAAAATACCCAAAAGTACCATGCCCAATAAATCTTTGGCAGCGTGTCATCTATTCATTCTTCTTTCCAATCCATTCAACAAAATTTCTTCTTTCTACGGAACAAATCATTAAATTGAGAAGAATAGAGTATAAGGGAAGTGCCTTTTAGTGAATATTAATTGGTTATTTATTTTATTGTTTCTATAATATAAACTGGTATCCCCTACCCAGTATATTCCTCTCGAATGGGTGAACACAGTTCGGAAGACCACCTCATTCGCTACCTCATCCGACCAATGTAAGTCAAACAAAAACGATTCAGATATTACTAAACTTTGATGGTCTCGCCTCAGTATGCCGCCAGATTCTGTGTCACCTCACTAACGACGTCAGCCCTTGCCGGCCATTAGCATACTATATATTATATATACACAAATAGGTATGCAGCCTTAGCACAACAATCCATCCCATTCCTCTGTTCTTCTCTCACCGAACTTTAATTCTCATTCAGTAATTGCTCTACAATTAAGAAAGAGTTTGTCATGGCAAAATCACCAGAACAGGAACACCCAGTGAAGGCCTTTGGATGGGCAGCCAGAGATCAATCTGGTGTCCTCTTTCCTTTCATTTTCTCCAGAAGGTATTCATTATTCTACCTACTCTGCTTTTCCATTAATTCTCTCTTTACAAACATTGCCATTAACCCCATATCTTCATATATATATATATATTGGATAAAATTGTGCATTCGTTTAGATATTGTTGGTTTTGCATCCTCTTGATACGAATACTATGTCTACACAAGTGTGAGTCAGGTCCTGACATTAGCATGGTGTTTAAATGATGTTGCAGAGCAACTAGTGATAAGGACGTAACGTTTAAGGTGTTGTATTGTGGGATTTGTCACTCCGACCTTCACAGTATCAAGAATGAATGGGGCGGGTCCCACCATCCTCTAGTCCCCGGGTATGAAATCTGTACTCCTTTTCTCTATCAAACATGTTCTGATCTCAAGTTGTGGCTTCCATCACAACTTGTAACATGACTGATTAATGCACGCAGGCATGAGATTGTGGGTGTTGTGACACAGGTGGGTAGCAAGGTCCAAAAATTCGAGGTCGGAGACGGAGTGGGGGTGGGGTGCCTAGTCGGAGCGTGTCACTCGTGCCACAGCTGCACCGAGCATCTAGATAATTATTGTCCTAAGGTCATCTGCACTAGCCTTTTCGAATTTTGACTCTCTAAAAACGTCACATCAACTTTTCCAAGAGTCATGTCAGCAGTTTTTGCTTTCCAAAAACATGCACTCCATCAGACTCTCCGAATTTTCGCTCTTAAAAAATAATAATAATAATAAATTAAAATTAATTTTTTAAAATTTTTTTTAACTTTTCTTAAATGGCTATATTTTTAACGGTTATATTTGCAACAGCTATATTTGCAATGGCTATATTTTCTCAACAGCAATATTTTTCAATCAAACAATATTTTTAGAAATTATTAAAAAAACTACGATTGATATTAGAATTTGAAACAATACATTATCCATTGTGGATTAAAAAAAAAAATTAAACAACACAATTAAAAATAACTTAAACAATAAAATATCCTAAATTGGAATAAGAAAATTAATAGACCAATGATTACAAAATCCTATGGGAACTTTAGGGCGGACCGTGAATTCAAAGATGTCAATATCTCATTTTGTCGTGCAATGATCCAAGCTTTCCCTGCTTCTGTTAGTGCCGAATTTGGATCTCTTAACATGAGTTCCTTCTCTTCAAGTCTCTGTTTCTCTATAATCTCTAACTGTCTTGTTTTCTCTTTCTCCATTTTTCTTACCTCTCGTGCCACTTGGGAGTCCTGCATTTTCTCCTGACGACTCTCAAAACGGGTGGTGATATTATTAAATTTCGAAACGAATGAAGTTTGCAATTCATTCGTTAAATTAATTTTCACTCGACGTTGCTTCGCCGCTTTTCTTCCTGGTCTTTGTAGTTGATATTCTTCCACATCGGGTGTATCATTTTCCCCTATGTGTAGTGATTCTTCAGTTGAAGCTCCATCTGTTATGGCTGCATGACTTGATGGAGTAGATGGTAATGAGTGCCCAACAGACTCATTAATGTCAAACTCAAATCCACTCTTCTTCGGCTCCTTTTTCTTTTTTCCTTTTCCTACTTGTTCGGCACAATGTGAATTCCATTTATTGTTATGCTTCAAGATCTCTCAGCAACTTTCTAACTTAAATTCACCACCTGTTTGGCTACGAAATAGCTACGAAATAGGTTTTTATCTACTATCATCTACACGAAAAAAATTAACAAAAAATTAAAAACTGACTATTTAAAATATTTACGAGTTATATTTAAACAATAAATAACTAACTATATTATCACTGCTGAAGCCGCTGGGAAGATTCATTTCTATGGTAGTCATGTAGCCGAAAAATTTGTTGATTTTTTGTTGGATCACTGACCAATAATTAATCAAACCTCCATCATTTCGCTCAGTTGGAGGAACACCAATATGTTGTATATATTGTTTCAGAATTCACTCCCATAACTTTTTCTTACTTTGATCTGCCCCCGTAATCGCATAAGAGGTAATGGACATCCACGCCCAACATAAAGCCTCATCTTCAGCCTTGGTCCAATTATTAGGTCGGAAAACCAGTTGTTTTGACGCGGGTCTTGAGTTACTTGATTGTGGAACACTAGTACCACAATCATGATGAGAAGTTTGGAATGGTTGATAAGAAGGTTGGAATGGTTGATGAGAAGGAAATTGAGAATCTCCTCCATAATAATTGATATTTTTTTCGGGAAATGGTAAAAACTCATCGTTTGATGGGTTGAATTGGGTGTTGTAATAATATGGATGTCGAGGATCCATGGAATCGAAATGACTTTAAAAATAATAGCTAAGATTGAGAAAATAGAAGAAGAAATAAGTTGAATGGTAGATAATAGAGATATGATGAGTGATGTAGGAGTTAGGGTATTTATAAAGATTTTAAAATTTTTAATTTAAATTTTTTTTTTTTTAATAAAGTTAAAAAATTTAAATTTTTAAACTTTTTTTTTTAAATTATAGCCATTAAGGCACTGTTTGGTACTGTAGAAACAATGCCTTAACGGCTAAATATACTATTTGGCCTACACATTTAAAATTTAAAACAAAATTTTTTTAAAAAAAAAACCAAATTTTAAGGGAAAAAAAAAAAAAGGTTTTTTAATTTATTTTTGGCCCAATTTTTTTTTTGGACAAACAATGCCAAAACAATATATTTTTTATTTAATGAATTTTATTTTATTTTTTTCCCAAAAAAAATAGCTCTAAATAACCTGCTTTTAGGTTTTTTTAAAAAAAAAAATATCGGCCAAACAGTGCCTTAAGGCTATTGTACTCTGCCGTTGCAAGAAGAGACAAAAAAACAGAGGCACTGTTTGGCTACTGTATATAGCTGTTGCAAGAGAACTCCCCAAAGAGGTAGCCAAACGGCGCCGTTTTCTGACCATAAAAAATAAAAATAAAAAATATCACGATCGCGGGCCGGCTCGTTGAATACCGCGAGCCTAAAATGGGCCCTACCAATTTGAAGTGCCCGCTGCACGACCCAAAGCCCCTCTGCCTCGCTGAAATTGGGTTCCGCTAGTGGGCTGCGGATGCTCTAAGGCCATAGCCACCTACAATTACACCTACTATGACGGAACCACCACCTACGGAGGTTACTCTGACATCATGGTGGCGGACGAGCACTTTGTGGTTCGGATGCCAGACAACATGCCTCTTGATGCTGGGGCTCCTCTTCTATGCGCTGGGATCACGGTGTATAGCCCCATGAAGCATTTTGGGATAGACAAGCCTGGTATGCATGTTGGTGTGGTTGGTCTAGGTGGTTTAGGCCATGTTGCTGTCAAGTTTGCAAAGGCTTTTGGGGTTAAGGTCACTGTCATCAGTACATCCCCTGCCAAGAAGGATGAAGCCCTCACACATCTTGGTGCTGATTCATTTTTGATCAGTCGCGACCATGATCAAATGCAGGTAATTAACAATTTCTTAACAACTCTAACTTGGTCCTAACTGTTGATGAATTGATTAATTTGTTGAATGTATTAATATATATGTAGGGTGCTATGGGCACAATGGATGGTATCATTGATACCGTCTCTGCGGTGCATCCTATCCAACCATTAATTGGTCTGTTGAAGTCTCATGGCAAGCTTGTCATGGTCGGTGCACCGGAGAGGCCACTTGAGCTACCAGTGATGCCTTCGCTTATGGGTAACAATTTATTTTGACAATTCTTTCTGCTCTTGAAGTAAGAAATACCGAGAGCTAATATGAAGTTTGGAATGGACGACAGGTAGGAAGCTTGTGGCTGGGAGTTGCATTGGGGGGTTGAAGGAAACTCAAGAGATGATTGATTTTGCAGCCAAACACAGCATAACATCGGACATTGAGGTTATTTCAATGGACTATGTGAACACTGCCATGGACCGTCTGGCAAAAGCCGATGTTAGACATCGATTTGTCATTGACATTGGAAACACATTGAATATTGCCTAATCATTTATATGTGATGGTCAGATTGATGATATGCAGTGGTTCTTTTGTAACAAGTGTTATGTATTTGTCTTCTGTATGTTCTCCACAGTATAAAGATCAACATTGTGTTTGATCTGATTCTGAATAAGTTAAAAGAGATTATACTTTGATTTCAGTCTCTTCGAAAGTGAATGGTATTAAATTAATTCAGCATTTGGATGTGTAGTTTTGGTGTGTCTTGTATCTCCATTTATATTGCTATATATATACATTTAAGTTCCATTTCGATTAAATTGTAGCATTCGTGTGAATTTAATTTGAGTTTTTAAAGTACAGTACAAGTTTATCTTAATATGCTCAACCTGAAGTTTATTAATATTCCGCCTTTGGTTTCATGAAAGCAATACTCCACCACACGGGCTCCACATTCATGAAATCAAAGAATGTAAAGCATTAGTAGGTTAGACAACTAGGTCTAACATTTCGGTATATATAACAGCGTCCATCTAATTAATATTGAGACTTTGATCCAAAAGTTTTTTTTTTTTTTTTTTTTTTTTGATGTAATAGGTAGAATAATTGACCCTTGGATTTTTTTTTTTTTTTTTTTTTTAGTATTGAGTAGTTGTAATTTTTCTTATTTTCAGTTATACACCTTAAAATTATAAAATAATTAACTTTTGCCTCCCACTCACTCAATATCTTGGTCTGTCCTGAGCGGTCGTTTCATAAATATTATATCGTTGCCCCAATATTTCAAATCAAATGCCACAAGTGCATCTCTATCTACATAATTACTAATTAAACATCAAGGTCACCCTCATATGCAGGTGGATTACAATTAATCAATCAGTGTTGGTCTCCACTCCAAATTATTGGTGCAACATTTTCATCCTACCTAAGGGGGTTATTGATGAATTAAACAAGATATTTAGAAGGTTTCTTTGGTCAGGTCCAAAAATGAAATCTTCTGGCTCAAAGGTTGCTTGGGGTAAGGTCTGTACTCCAAAATTTGCAGGTGGTTTGGGGATCCCCAATTTAGAAATTGTTAATAGGGCTGCGATTTTGAGGTTTATTTGAGACCTCCAAACAGATGACTCTAATAGACTTTGGGTCAGGTGGTGCAATTTCCATCTCCTTAAGTCTAGAAACCTACGGACTCTCAACTTCCCACAGCCTTGCTCTTGAAATTGGAGGAAAATGCTTCAACTTAGACATATTGCTAGGCTTCTCATCAAACATTCCATTGGCAATGGTGCTAATACATCCTTCTGGTGGGATAACTGGGCACCAGGTGGACCACTGTGCTCTAGATTTCCACTTAATCTACTAATTGAAGGTGGGTTTATTGAAGGAATCACAGTGGAAAATTTCATTGTTAACAACAATTGGGCTTTCCCAATCACTCTCACCAATGCCATACCAGAATTGCTCAACCTACTTGCACCATGCATTTTTAGAAGGGACACTAAGAAGTGGATGGCTTCTCCTACTGGCCTCTACTCATTCAACCACACTATTGCACATTTAACTGGTGACCTTCCTACTGCCCCATGGCACAATCTAGTTTGGCACTCTCTAACCATAGCAAGAATGAAGTTCAATCATTGGCTGGTTGCCCAATCCAGATTGCCACCCCTTGACAGGAAATCAATGGCCAACCACAACAACATTTGTTCTTTGTGTAGCATGTCTACTGAGTCTCATGACCACCTATTCTTCAATTGCTCCTTCATCTCCCCTCTGTGCCGTTTTATCAAATACAAATGCAACAGTCATATAGCAATTAAGAATTGGGAAACTTTAGTACTGTGGGCAAGTAATCAATGGAAAGCAAACAACCCTACAAATCTACACAGGAAATTGGGGTTATCTACTTTGGTGTATCATTATATCATACCTGGGAAGAGAGGAATGCCAGAATATTCAGAGGTCAGAAGGCTTCACAGAAGGTTGTATGTGCTAAGATCTCCTCCACCATTGCTGCAATTTTGAAGTTGGGCTGTCTTAGAGATTGCTCATCATCTAGATCAATTCTCATGGAATGGACTCTCTCCCCTTCTTGCTGCAGACCTCCCCCTCGTCCACCAAATTGAGTTCAAAGCGGCACAACCGCTGTATGAGATCACCGGACTGAATTGATGGTCTCCATTAACGGTTCTTGCCGTTACTAGTAGTTATTTCTAGTTTTGGGTTTGGAATTGTTTTTCATGTAGGGCCTATACTCGGTGTCTTGTTGCAAGCTTTGGGCTTGTCTTGTATCCACTTTTAGGGCCTAAGGCCCTCTTGTAAATTTTTATTATCAATTGCTTTAATTTTCAGGAACAAAAAAAAAAAAAAAAAAAACAACCTTATAGGGCATTTCTTCAATCTGCTTAGCGATCAATAAAAAAATGACGATTACCGAGCAAAAGTTTTTATTTTTTGGACCAACACGAATAAAAAATTAACGGGCGCTTAGTCTTCCAATAATTAAACCAAAAAATAATTTATTAATAGATCCACTGCGTCCTAAAAATTACATTTCAAATGTTAAGATGTGTATCCAAATGTCTGAAAGAATATTTTATAAAAATTAAACACTCAGATTTTTTTTTTTTAATCAAAATTAATTTACAATAACAACATTACATCACACCAAGAAGTAAAATTTTTATATTCTCTTTCTTTTGATATTATTTGATTAGATTAAATTATAATCTGCAGGGAGCCAAAGAGCCGCACGGAACAAAGTAAATTAAATTTATTCAAAATTCATGGACACTCGGTTGTTTTGTAGTGGAATGTTTTTCTGTTTTGCCTTTGTGGGTTGGTCTGGGCAGACTGGCCCTTTAGCCTCTTTTTGTTGGTTTTCGGCCTTGGGTTAGCGTTTGTTTTCATTTTGGGTCCGACATTTCACCTTTTTCTATTCTTTCTGGCCTTTGGGCTGAAATCCCCTTATTTTTATGAGGGATGATAATCACAGTCATTTTCGCGACTGTGAAATTTTAGTCGCTAGTTTAACAGTTGACGTAAGTATTTTCTTTTTTCATAATTAATTATTATTTTTTTGCTAACTTCCTTTTGGGTCTCTCATTATATATAATTACTATACTAACCTCCTAATTGATAAACCATTAGCATAAATTCTCTCTTCAGAAACTTCAACGGTTCCTTCTCACTTTAAAATTTTATTTGTTACAAAATTTCATATCTAAATATTTGAAGTTCCAACACTAAAATTTTCTTTTTTACAAAAGTCCATATCTAAATGTTTGAAGTTCAAATTTGAATTTTTTCAGATTCGTATTCTATGTATCTAAAGTATTGTTTTGATTTTTCAAATTAAAAAAAAAAAAAATGTCATAAAATAAAAAGAAAAAATTACTATAATTTTTTTTTAGATTATACTTTTTTTTCATCTAATTTTATTTTTTTTATTTGAAAAACAAAACACTTCGAAACAGAGAATATGGATCTGAAAAAATCATATAATTTTAGGGAGAGAACCAGATTATAATTTTAGAGAGAGAACCTAATTTATGTTTATAATTTTATAATTTTATGATAATTTTTTTTTTTACTTTTTAAATCTGAAAAATCAGAGCAATACTTCGAATACAAAGAATACGGATTTGAAAAAATTGATATATGATATAGACTTTTGTAAAAAAGAAAATTTTAGTGTTGGAACTTCAAACATTTAGATTGGAATTTTGTAACAAATAAAATTTTAAAGTTAGAAGGAACCGTGGAAGTTTCTAAAGAGAGAATATATGCTAATGGTTTATCGGTTAGGAGGCTAGTATAGTAATTATATATAATGAGAGACCCAAAAGGAAGTTAGCAAAAAAACAGAATTAATTATGGGGAAAGGAAATACCCGCGTCAACTGCTAAACTAACGATTGAAATTTCACAATCGCAGGGGCAACTGTGATTAGTATATCTCTATTTTTATTTTAAATTTGTTGGCTCTTACTCCTGGTACTATACGTAGTGAAAAAAAAAAAAAAAACTCCTAATTTTTAAATTTTGGGCAAATAATATTCATGCCATTGGTTAATCTTCTGAAGTTTCATGGAAAGCTTATAACGGTTGGAGCACCACAAAAGCCGTTAGAGCTACAGGTCTTTCCTATGGTTATGGGTAAGGATACGTTACTAATAGGTTCGCACTAGCCAGTACAAGTTACGCATTAGACTTAAAAATAGGTCGCATATCGATGTAATAAAAAAAAAAAAGTACGTAACTTGATGTTGCACTTTCGCTTTAAGAGTTACACAAGTTAATAAGACTGTGCCAACAGGAAGGAGGATGGTGGCTGGGAGTAACATTGGCGGATTGCAGGAGACTCAAGAAATGATTGATTTTGCAGCAAAACACAATATCATCGCACAGATTGAGCTTATTAAAATGGATTACGTGAACACTGCAATGGAGCGACTACAAATGCCGACGTTAGATACCGATTTGTCATTGACATTGCCAACAGCTTGAAACCTGCTTAATCTCTATTATATGACTGGCAGATTATCATCTCTAAAGTCTCTGATTAACATCTCTAAAGACTCTGGGCTTAAATGCACTTGGGATGTCTTAAGTTTCTTTTGAATGTTTGCATTTTGTGGTGTTGTTGGAATTAATATATAGCTGATTATGTGTTATAAGAATATGATCGATTTTGAGAAATAAAAAGCTAATGAGCATGTCGCACAATACTGATATATTTTTCTCATTTTTTATTTGCTAGGGAGATATAGAATATAATAAATTACAAAAAAACTTTTGTTTTTGGTCACATTGGTTGGTTGCAAGCTAGGGGAAAATATGCAGTACAAAGAAAGAAGTACTAATTTGTATGAATGTTTGTAGAGAATTATTTTGTAACCCAAAAAGATAGTTCTCGAATAAGAAACTATTGATTTCTTAGGTTTAGTTTTAACCCCAGAAGGGATAAAACTATAGGATCAGAGTAATTACAAACAAAGCGGAAAATATAAAACTTAGGGAGAAAAACAAAGAGGGAGAGAGAAAATTTAATAAGGAAACTTCAGATTTTAAGATGCCTTATGGCTTACAAAACATCTGCTTTTATAGAGAAGCATAAATTGACTTTTACTATTCGGTGAATAGTAAAAGTGTTTTTTTACTGTTAATGAATAGTATTTGGATCAGATTGAATTTGTTTTTTACTGTTCGGGAATGGTATTTTGCCTCAACTTTTCACTGTTTATGAATAACAAATCTGACTTGACTTCTTGTCGTGTGTTGAATAGTTTTGCAATTGTCTGATAAGAAGTCTATTATCCTTCCATTGTGTTGATGAGGTTGTGGAGTTCATACTCATCCAATGGTGGAGTGCTTGCTGTACACATCCAATGAGGTTGTGCAGTTGTTTGATAAGAAGTCTATTATCCTTCCATTGTGTTGATGAGGTTGTGGTATCAGAGCACCATTGGATGGAGATTAGAAGAGATAGAATGAAGGGCACTGTTTGTTTGTCTCAGAAGCAATATTTGAAGAAGGTGCTACATCAGTTTGGTATGGACTCGAATACTAAACCTGTAAGTACCCCTTTGGCCCCTCATTTTAAGATTTTTGCTTCATTATCTCCACGCACAGATGAAGAGCGTGCGCAAATGGCTCATGTTCCGTGTGCGAGCACAATTGGAAGTTTAATGTATGCAATGGTGTGTACGAGACCCGACATTTCACAAGCCGTTAGTATAGTGAGCAGGTATATGCATGACTCAGGTAAAGGTCATTGGCAGGCAGTGAAATGGATTCTACGGTACATCCATGGTACTGTAGATGTTGGTTTAAAATTTGAGCGGGATGATAGACTTGGTTAGCATTTGGTTGGATATGTGGATTCGGACTATGCTGGTGATTTGGATAAACGTCGGTCAACTACAGGTTATGTGCTCATACTTGCTAAAGGACCGGTGAGTTGGAGGTCAATATTACAGCCTACAATTGCTTTGTCTACAACAGAGGCAGAGTACATGGCAATGACAGAGGCCATTAAGGAAGCCGTATGGCTACATGGGGTGATTGAGGACTTGGGGATTCTTCAAGAGCATGTTGATGTCTATTGCGACAGTCAAAGTGCTATCTATTTGGCAAAGAACCAAGTCCATCATTCACGTACAAAACACATCGATGTCCGTTTTCATTTTGTTCGTGAAATTTTGGATGAAGGCGATATTCTTCTTCAGAAGATTGGGACTGCAGATAATCCTGCAGATATGATGACGAAGGTTGTAACGAAGGTCAAGTTTGAGCATTGCTTAGACCTGATTAACATCCTACAAGTATGAGCACCTTTGGGTTCAATTGGAGGCAATTCAAGATCATGCTTGAAGAGGTGTACATAATTTTTCGCCAATGTGGAGATTGTTGACAAATTTGGAGTTTTAAATTTGGAATTGGCTCAAAATATGTCATCATGCTGGACTTTGAGCAAACTGGTATAGTCACTCAATATGGGTTTGTTCAACACCCATTGAAATGTCGTCTGGGATGTTGATTTTAAGTTCTTTGATATTGTCAAGGAAATGTTGTGCTTCAGTTAATTGATCCGTTGAATAGTTAGAATAATCAACAGTAAGCTATGTGACAAAGAGTCTTCTTCCGTCACAGATCATAAATGGCGGAGGTTTTTGAATGCTTCCTCGGATCATGACAGCTTCGTCTTTAAGGCTTATCATTATGTTAATAGCAATATCGATTGGATTAATCCTTTCTGCTATTTGAAATGAATTTAACAATTTTGTATGTTCAAATTTCATTGTCGTTTTGAGGAACCAAATTTGATATGACTGGAAAAATTTTGTTTTTTCACACCATTCAACAGAACTTGAAATCCAAAAGGTCGTGCTTCGACTGAACTTCCAATGAGATGTGGTCTTTAAGATCATAGATTTAATCATTGCAGGGAAAGACCTCCAGGAATATGAATTATGAGATGAGAAGGTAACTTTGTTAGTTACACCCCAATCAATTTGATCCATGGACCAAAGAAACCCTGGTACAATGAAAAGACACAACTTGGGATAGTGATCTCCATGATGGAACATGTTTATTTCTTCATGATCGTTGACAAAGAACTCTTGAATTGTTATCAAATGATCTTGAGTTTTTTTTCTTAAGATCATCTGAAAAATATCAAAATTAAACATGTCTCTTGCTTTTTCAAGAAAACAAAATCTTTTGATTTTTTCAAAAATAATATTTGGAAAATCATTTTCAACTAGGTTTGCTAGTTGCAAAAACCAATTAATTTGAGATAAAGTGTAATCTTTTTCCCTATCAATTGTGAGGCATATTTGAATGCAAAGTTATCTTTCTTCTCTTATTGCTAAACAAACAGCAATGACAGAACAACGAAGACCAATGGCAACTTTTGGTTTCGAGTCCCTGAAAGCATTGTGAGTTCTATTTTGTAATTTTTTGAAGCATTAGGAGAGGAGTTGTATTTTCTTTTAATTTTTTCATAACCCTTATCATACAATTTGAAAGGTGGAAAGATATTATTAGACTACAAGATCCTTGGTGAGAAGAGTTGTATTTAGTTTTTAAATATTTGGCATAGAAGATCTAGTAAAAGCATACAAAGTATTGAACGAGTGTTGATTAACTTTAGCAACAAAAATATTAAATAAACTCCAAATATAGCCACTTTAGCAACAAAAATATTAAATAAATTGCAAAAAAATGGGCATAATAATAAAAATAAATTAAAATTTTTTCTTTCATTCTCTCTTTTAAAAAAATTATAGAAAACTCCAGAAGTATAATTCCATAAATCTTTAGCAGTGTGTCATCTATTCATTCTTCTTTCATATCCATTCAAAAAAAATTATTCTTTCTACTGAACAAATCATTAAATTGAGGAGAATATCGAGTATAAGGGAACTGCCAAATATATATAAACAATAAAATAAATAACCAATAGATATTCACTTTTCTATAATATAAATTGGTATCCCCTACCCAATATATTCCTCTCGAATGGGAACACAGTTCGGAAGACCACCTCGCTACCTCATCCGACCAATGTAAGTCAAACAAAAATAATTCAGATATTACTAAACTTTGACGTCAGCCCTTGCCGGCCATTAGCATACTAAGTATATATTATATATACACAGGTATGCAGCCTTAGCACAACAATCCATTCCATTCCATTCCTCTGTTCTTCTCTCCTCTTTCTCACCAAACTTGAACTCTCATTCAGTAATTGCTTAAGAAAGAGTTGGTCATGGCAAAATCTCCAGAACAGGAACACCCAGTGAAGGCCTTTGGATGGGCAGCCAGAGATCAATCTGGTGCCCTCTCTCCTTTCAATTTCTCCAGAAGGTATTCATTATTCTACCTACTCTGCTTTTCCATTAATTCTCCCTTTACAAACATTGCCATTAAGCCCATATCTTCATATATATATATATATATATATATATATATATATATATATTGGATAAAATTGTGCATTCGTTTAGATATTGTGGGTTTGTCATCCTCTTGATACGATTACTATGTCTACACAAGTGTGAGTCAGGTCCTGACATTAGCATGGTGTTTAAATGATGTTGCAGAGCAACTAGTGATAAGGACGTAACGTTTAAGGTGTTGTATTGTGGGATTTGTCACTCTGACCTTCACTGCATCAAGAACGAATGGGGCGGGTCCCACTATCCTCTAGTCCCCGGGTATGAAATTTGTACTCCTTTTCTCCATCAAACATGTTCTGATTTCAAGTTGTGGCTTCCATCACAACTTGTAACATGACTCTGATTAATGCACGCAGGCATGAGATTGTGGGTGTTGTGACAGAGGTGGGTAGCAAGGTCCAAAAATTCAAGGTGGGAGACAGAGTGGGGGTGGGATGCCTAGTCGGAGCGTGTCACTCATGCCAAAACTGCACCGAGCATCTAGAGAATTACTGTCCTGAGGCCATAGCCACCTACAATCACACCTTCTACGACGGAACCACCACCTACGGAGGTTACTCTGACATCATGGTGGCGGATGAGCACTTTGTGGTTCTGATGCCAGACAACATGCCACTTGATGCTGGGGCTCCTCTTCTATGCGCTGGGATCACAGTGTATAGCCCCATGAAGCATTTTGGGATAGACAAGCCTGGTATGCATGTTGGTGTGGTTGGTCTAGGTGGTTTAGGCCATGTTGCTGTCAAGTTTGCAAAAGCTTTTGGGGTTAAGGTCACTGTCATCAGTACATCCCCTGCCAAGAAGGATGAAGCCCTCACACATCTTGGTGCTGATTCATTTTTGATCAGTCACCACCAAGATCAAATGCAGGTAATCAACCATTTCTTAACAGCTCTAACTTGGTCCTAACTATTGATGAATTGATTAATTTGTTGAATGTATTTATATATATGTAGGGTGCTATGGGCACAATGGATGGTATCATTGACACAGTCTCTGCAGTGCATCCTATCCAACCATTAATTGGTTTGTTGAGGTCTCATGGAAAGCTTGTCATTGTTGGTGCACCGGAGAGGCCACTCGAGCTACCAGTGATGCCTTTGCTTATGGGTAAGAATTAATTTTGACAATCCTTTCTGCTATTGAAGTAAGAAATACCGAGAGCTAATATGAAGTTTGGAATTGACGACAGGTAGGAAGATTGTGGCTGGGAGTGGCATTGGGGGGTTGAAGGAGACTCAAGAGATGATTGATTTTGCGGCCGAACACGGCATAACATCGGACATTGAGGTTATTTCAATGGACTATGTGAACACGGCCATGGACCGTTTGGCAAAAGCCGATGTTAGATACCGATTTGTCATTGACATTGGAAACACATTGAATTTTGCCTAATCATTTATATGTTGCAGTGCTTCTTTTGTAACAATTGTTTGCGTATTTGTCTTCTGTATGTTCTCCACACTATACATTGTGTTTGATCTGTTTCTGGATAAGTTAAATAGATTATACTTTGATTTCACTCTCTTTGCCAAGTGAATGCTATTAAATTAATTCAGCATTTGGATGTGTAGTTTTGGTGGTCTTTTCATAAATATTATATTGTTGCCCCAATACTTCAAACCAAATGCCACAGTGCATCTCTATCTACAATCTAACCTATAGGGCATTTTCTTCAACATGCTTAGCGGTGATCAATTAAAAAATGACGAGTACCTACCAAAACGAATAAACAATTAACGCGAGCATAGTCTTTCAATAATTAAACCAAAAAATAATTTATTAATAGATCCACTGTCTCCTAAAAATTACATTTCAAACGTGAAGATGCGTATCCAAATGTCTGAAATAATATTTTTATAAAAATTATACATTTAGATTTTTTTTTTTTTTTTATCGAAATTAATTTACAATAACATCATTACATCACGCGAAGGAGTAAAATTTTTATATTCTCTTTCTTTTGACATTGTTTGATTAAATTAAATTATAATCTGTAGGGAGCCAACGAGCCCCAGGGATCAAACTAAATTAAATTTATTGAATATTCATGGACACACGGTTGTTTTGTAGTGAATGTTTTTCTGTTTTCCCTTTGTGGGTTGGTCTGGGCAGACTGGCCCTTTAGCCGGTTATTGTTGGTTTTCGGCTGTTAGCGTTTGTTTTCATTTGGGCCTGACATGTCATCTTTTTTAATTCTTTCTGGCCTTTGGGCTGCAATCCCTTTATTTTTATTTGGGTAAAGTACATCCACACCCTTCGAGATTTGACAAAAGGACACTTAGATAAAATTTACCTGTTTTTTGGAATTGACGACAGGTAGGAAGATTGTGGGTGGGAGTTGCATTGGGGGCATGAAGGAGACTCAAGAGATGATTGATTTTGCAGCCATACACGGCATAACATCGGACATTGAGGTTGTTTCCATGGACTATGCGAACACTGCCATGGATCGTCTAGCCAGAGGCGATGTTAGATATCGATTTGTCATTGACGTTGGAAACACATTGAAATTTGCCTAATATATTCTTGGCCTTTTTTCCTGAATTATTATGGGTTCAGTCCTTGTGAGATTATGTCATGGTCGGATTGATGGATTGATGTCCATTGGTTGGTTCCTTTGTATTATGTACTTGTCTTCTGCATCTTTTCCACAGTATAAAGATCAACATTGTGTTTGATCTGATTCTGAATAAGTTAAAAGAGATTATACTTTGATTTCAGTCCCTTGGCAAGTAAATGGTATTAAATAATTCACTATTTCGATGTGTAGTTTTGGTGTTCATGGATCTCCATTTATATTATAGACATTTAAGTTCCATTTGGATTAAATGAAGCATTTGGTGTGAAATTAATTTGAATGAAATTTGAACATTCTATGTATTGAAGATGATCCAAATTCTGAAAATGATTGAAGCATTTTTAATGGAGAGGAATCAAATCAATGTCTAGGTTTACAAATCGACTTTCATCTTTCACAAGCCCCTTGCTTTTCGTCTAAGTCATTTTTGGTCCTCTTGGAGCCTTGGAGGCAGCTGATCTAATACTGAGGCTATATGATCAGACATATTGTTATGTTAAATGGTTTTGGTCTTCATTTCGGTGGCAAATGGGCGGGTTGGGCCGGGTTTGGGTTGGATTAAAAATGGGCGAATTAATATGGGTCAAAATCCATATTTAATCCGTTCAGATCGAAATGGCTATTTCAGTCGACCTATTCTTCCAGTAACCACCATCACTGTTTGGGTTACAACTGGCCGACCGAAATGGCCATTTCGGTCGACACCTCCAATTACTTTCAAATTCAACTATGTTGGAGAGCATGCTAAGGCCTAATTTAATATGCTAACACATATTTATTTTAAGCTAGTTAAGGCCATGTGAATTAATCTTTTACCTAAGATAAATATTAAATAAAATCTTTAATACTTATTCAAATGTTCTAATTTTAATACACGACAATGAGCATATCAAGGGGTAATATAAAATCATGCTACTTGTTTTATGGTGTGATTTGATAATATTAATTGTTAGATTCTTAATGGAAAGTTGGAGAATGTAATGGAAAGTTGGAAGGTAGCAAAAGGTGGGAGAAAAAGTATTGTTCACGGAAATGACTATGAGGTCTTGAAGAATGACTTTGGTCAACCAACATATACAGAAAAGAGGCACCTTATAGGCAGCTTATTACTCTTATGGAAAACCCCTACACGGAGGGATGCACACATTCACTCACTGTGAGGCCCGAATAGTCAAGAGGTCATCAATATCTGGGGAGATCAGGTAACAACAAAGGAGTGCTACCACACCACGGTTTATCCTTCTGATAAGGACAAGTGAAAACATGAAATTTCAAATCATATACATGAACCATCAAGTGTGTGACCCTTGGCTTTATTACATATCATGTTAAATACATCAAAATGAAATATTTAAGTGCATATGGACATCTTTTCAATCGGGTAGAGGTGGTAGAATGGTTCCTCAAGTCGGATCTTACTAACCTTGTAACAGAGAAGAAGATCTATAATATCAAGCCTATTTATCATGTATCATGACTTGTTGCAACTTAGTTTTATTAATGGAGTTAATGAACTTGCACCCTTACATTGGAATGTTAAAAATAAGCGAATTAATATGGGTCAAGATCAACCCGTTATGACTCATGGACCCATTAATTATTATTTTAAATTATTTTTTATTTTTAAAATTTAAAATTTTTTTAATTATTTTTAAAATTTTAATTATTTTTTTAATTTTTCAATTTCGTTAAGGAAGTTTTTTTTAGTTTTTATTTTCCAATATGAAAGGACTTAATAATTATGAATAGAGAGGAAAGAGCTAAAAAAAAAAAAAAAAAAAACCCTCCACCCCCAGTCCCTGAATGGTTTGTCCATTGATGTCACTGTCATCAGGGATTGCAATTTTCATTTCATTTTAGGATGGTTGTGGGTTCAGTAGTTTAGTTGGTCTTTGCCATGAAAGAAGAAGAAATAGCCATGAAAGAGAAGAATGTGTGTGTGTGTGTGAGAGAGAGAGAGAGAGAGAGATTGTTCATGCGAAGAAGTGTGGATCGAGGACACAAGCCCCCTATATATAGGAAGAGTTTATGCGTTCACACTTGTAGAAGGAAATAAAATTAACTTGATTTTATAATAGAAAAATGCTGTTCAAATTAATGAGCTAGCAAATTTGTTTATTTACAGCGACGGGGCTATAGTTTTACTCAGTAGGTTTTGGATAAAAAGAAACGAAAAAATTCAAAATTCAAAAATTCAGAATTAAAAGCAATTATCAAGCAAATCAAAATGAGTGGGTTTAGTTTTAAATTTTGGACTAGCATATTTTTGGTATTTTCAGTAAATAATACTAATAAATAAATTTTAAAAGTAAACTATTATGATCTTTTCGAGGTTTGGTCAAATATTTGTTAAATTTGGCATTCGAAATGGAAACATTCAATAAAAAGGGAATATTTTAATTTTTTTTAAAATTATTTTCTATTTTTAAATTTTTTTTTTTGAAAGGTTTTAAATTATTTTTTCTTTTTTTATTTTTAAAATATTTTTTAATTTTTTTTAATTATTTTTAATTATTTAAAATTTTTAAAATTATTTTTTAATTATTTATTTTTTTATGAAAAATTTCTAGAGAGATAAACTTAAAAAGAGGTGATTAATAAGAGACAAATTTAGAGAGAGATGATTGTGAGTGAGAGAATTTTATAGAAATAAATGAGTTGAGTATAATATAAAATAGATGTGTGTTGTGTGTTTATTATGTGATAGGTGAAATATAGGTTGAATATGGTCAATCCATCTTGATCCTCAAACTAAATATGGTTCACTCATAATTATTAAAAAGCGGGCAAATATGGGCGGGTTGATAGTTTCTGACCCATTTTGCCTCCCCTAATTTCAGTTAAGGTGGACATGAATTAATTGCCCAAACTATCCTTAACATTTTCAAGTATAATTTTATGTATGCAAGTGCCACTATTGTGTGTATGCATTTATATTTTTTTATGTGCAAATCAAGTCATCAAAATAGTCTATACGAAAAATGGTACTTCTATACACAAGAGTGATAACCTACATACAAAAACATAATATTTATGTATACAAGAGTAATATTTACATACATAAAAGTGGTACATATATATACAATAGTGGTACTTAAAGATACAAGAATATTGATACATTTATGCATAATATACATTTATGCATAATAGTACTGGTATCTTAGTGTAAAAGAGTAGTACTTATATATACAAAAATTAAACTTATAAATATTAGGCATAATTTAGACAAATAAATAGTATCTTTCCATGTTCAGTTTAAACTTTTTAAAAAAATTATGATTGTGCAGAATATTGACTTTGACTTTGACTTTATAACTTTGTAAATTGACCTCCAAAACTTCGTGACTCCGTAATTGTCCCCCCAACCCCCTCTTATTATTTTTTTTTTTATTTAACTTAGGAAATTCAATTTTAATGTGGCTCACAGCTCTTACAAGATGGGTGACACCGACACACAGGTAGTTCATCCACTAGTTTTTTCTATTCTTTTAAGTTGAGAGTAAATGTGTGGGACCAAAAACCTCTTTGGATGGAAACATTTAATTGGGTTGCTGTTACTTTCGCACGGAATAACATTTAATTGGTGTGACTTTTATTTATAAAAAAGGTAGTTGGTTGGTGTTAGGCATTATGGGTTTCGATCAATTTCTTAAAAATAATAAAATAAATGTTAGTAAAACAGAGAGGTAACGTGCTATAATTGAAATTTATATATAAAAATAACATAATAAAAAGGGTGGTTGGCTGGTGTTAGAAATTATGGGATTTGAAATTTATATATAAAAATAACATAATAAAAAGGGTGGTTGGCTGGTGTTAGAAATTATGGGATTCAGCGAATTCTTTAAAAATAATAAAATAAATGTTAGTAAAACAGAGAGGTAAAGAGATATTGTATTCATATTTAAATAAAATTGAAAGCATCAATCAATTGACGTATTGAAATTTATATATAAAAAAAACATAATAAAAAGGGTGGTTGGTAGTGTTAGGCATTATGGGTTTCACGGATTTCTTAAAAATAATAAAATAAATGTTGGTAAAACAGAGAGGTAAAGAGATATTGTATTCATGTTTAAATAAAATTGACAGCATCAATCAATTGACATGTTATAATTCAAATTTATATATAAAAAAACATAATAAAAAGGGTGGTTGGTGGTGTTAGGCATTATGGGTTTCGACGGATTTCTTAAAAATAATAAAATAAATTTTGGTAAAACAGAGAGGTAAAGAAATATTGTATTCATGTTTAAATAAAATTGACAACATCAATCAATTGACGTGTTATAATTGAAATTTATATATAAAAAAAACATAATAAAAAATATGGTTGGTGGTGTTAGACATTATGAGTTTCGGCGAATTTCTTAAAAATAATAAAATAAATTTTGGTAAAACAGAGAGGTAAAGAGATATTATATCCATGTTTAAATAAATTTGAGAGCATCAATCAATTGACGTGTTATAATTGAAATTTATATATAAAAAAAAAAACATAATAAAAAGGGTGGTTGGTGGTGTTAGACATTATGGGTTTCGGCAGATTTCTTAAAAATAATAAAATAAATGTTGGTAAAACAGAGAGGTAAAGAGATATTGTATTCATGTTTAAATAAAATTGACAGCATCAATCAATTGACGTGTTATATTTCTAAAAAATAATAAAATAAATGTTGGTAAAACAGAGAGGTAAAGAGATATTGTATTCATGCTTAAATAAAATTGAGAGTATCAATCAATTAACGTGTTATAATTGAAATTTATATATAAAAAAAACATAGATGAAATTTTAAATTAATTTTTCAAAAACTTTAATTCCAAAACATAGCAATATAAATCTCATAGCTATCTTGTTACTCTTTGAAATTCTAATAAATTTTTAAGAAATATGCATTCCAATCGTTTTTGCCATTTTGAAAATTTCAAGTTAGGCTTTTTAAAATTTAAAAGTTTATATTAACAATTTAAAAAGAATAATGATAAAATTGACGACAATTATAACTAGATTTTATAGTGACTGCCCACGTGTTTCACTATTGCGATGAAAAATAAAATAGTAAAACGGATAGTTGTTCTTTTCCGGTTTAGTGCTGACTTGAAATTCATCCATTAAGGATGCGATCTTGACAGGGGATTCTTGGTTTTAAAGGTGTTCACAGTTACAAAAGGCTTCCAATCTGGTTCATAATATATAAATATATGTATTACATATACAAATGTCATGGAGACCATGGATGAAGCTTTATTTGAACCTGAATTTTATTTATAAATATGATTTCAATTTTAGTATTTAGATTCGTTTTGATAATCATCATTAAAGTCGTATGAATTCAATTAGTTTTTATGTGGATTAGTGGGTTGAATTGAATGTGGAATTTAGTTGGGAAAAAAGTTGCAGATTTGAGTTCCAAATAGGGTTTCGAAGAGCTGAGATGAGGTCATTCAAAGTATCAATCTCTGGGGATTCGATGAACACTTTGATTGACGGATGATTTAGGACGGATAGTTTGCTGGAATGGGGAAGAGATGATGGGGTGAGAGAAAATAAGAAGAAAATGAAAATAAATTGTAGAAAATAAAAAGACAAAAATAAATTAATTAATTAATTAAAAAATAAAGCATCCCTCAAACAGTCACGCGACAGGGGAGAGGGAGCCGGAATAATCTAACTTTACATTCAATTTTTTTTATAAACTAGAAATAAAAATAAAAATGAAAAAATATGTATCACACGTTATCAATGACGTTAGCCCACACTCTCTACCTTAAATGAATATCTACACTCTTTTGTCCCAAAAAATTTATTGTCTCATTTTTTCTTCATATTCACTTTTTTTTTTAATATTTTTAATTTATTTTCTACCCTCTTAAAATAATAATAATAATTCAAGTTAATGCAAATCTACGATCAAAGGTATATTTAAAATTTTATTATCCATCATTATAATAGAAAAAACATGAAGATGGAATTTTTTTTTTTTTTTTTTAAGGACGGAGAGTGTATAAAAACTAATGGTGACGTAAGTCAAATTGATTACGGAGTGAAAAAAAGATTGTCACACGTCATCGATGACGTTAGCCCAGACTCTACCCTAGCTCTATATATAGACGCTATAATATTCACTTTGCAGATAGAGTAGAGACATCTTCTTCCTGTTCCTTGATTGCCATTTTCATTGCTTTGGTAGAGTAAAAACTTGTGGTAATGGCGAAATCACCAGAGACACAGCACCCGGTTAAGGCCTTCGGATTGGCAGCTAAAGACACATCTGGTGTCCTCTCTCCATTTAAATTCTCCAGAAGGTATTTCTCTCTTCTATATATAAAGATATGTATATGTGTGTGTATTTCTGTGTGTTTTTTTATTTGGAATAGATCAATCAGCGATATCAGTAGTCTAATTTTGTGTTTGTGACAATGATGATGATGACGATGTTTGAAAATGGTGTTGCAGGGCCGCGGCTGATAAAGACGTGGTGTTCAAAGTGTTGTACTGTGGGATTTGTCACTCCGATCTTCACTGTGTTAAGAACGAATGGGGCATCACCGTCTATCCTATCGTCCCCGGGTATCATTCAACCTCTCTCTCGTGCACACACAATTAGATTAGATTAGTGATAACATCTTTGGGGATTTTTTGGACAAAATTGGAAAATAAATAATCTGAACAGAATGATAATATATATGCATGCATTTATATTCATATATCATGTTCATCTGCATGTGTGTGTGTTTGTGTGTATGTATGTGTTGTAAAGCTGATTTCATTGAAAGTCTCTGATGTCAATCAAGCACGCCCCTGGTGTGGGTGAGAGGTATTCTATGAGATCTATTGAGAATTTTTGTTTGTGACAAGCCCTTTTTTCTCTTGATGCCAGAAATATGAAATCTTATATACAATTCCTTTGGCTAAAGTTTAGCCAACAAGCCAGCTTCAGCAAATGTTATAAAGGATTGTTGCTTGATGTTTACTTACCTGAGAATTTCCAGTTGGGTGATTTTACGGAGCTAGAAAAGTGATTTGGTATTTCTTATTGTTATTGCAAATGAAATGTAACGACCCACTCCACCACATGCCTTTACCCAGGCGATGTGGGATTGTACATTCGTAACTCGCCAGTGTGGTAGCATGTCACTGTCTCTCGCACCCGCCCACGACACACCTGCTCACAGGGTCATCAAAATTCACCCCCTTGGAGGCCCGACGTCCCCGCAGGCACAATTGGTATGAGGCCTTTTGGGGCAAAGCCAAAGAGCAAAACCATGCGGGTTCAGGCCCAAAGCGGACAATATCATGCTATATGGTGGAGTGGGTCGTTACAAATAATATCAGAACCTGATCCAGCCGGAAGTGTGCCGATGGGGACGTCGTGCCTCCAAGGGGGTGGATTGTGATGACCTTGTGGGCGGGTGTGTCGTGGGCGTGTGCGAGACACTGACATGCTACCACACTGGTGAGCTACGGGTGCACAGTTTCATATCGTCTGGGTAAAGGAAAGATGAAGTACTTATATATAAGTGTGTCATTTCCAATTGGTATGAGGCCTTTTGGGGCAAAGTTTCAGAGCAAAACCGTGCGGGCTCAGGCTCAAAGCGGACAATATCATACCATGTGGTGGAGTGGGTCGTTACAAAATGACCTCAAATTTTACACTGCACTCTGTAGTCAGTTTTTAATTTATAAGCCTAACAATCTGAATGTTTCTTTCTGGGTGGAGCTGTTAGCATTCTTCAGTGCTCCAATTTTCAGATCAAAATAATGAAATACATATAACAAAATCGGGGATAGGATGAAAACATATCCATAAGCCATTTAGCCAAGATGCACACCCTTGAGAAAAGCTAACAGAATACAAAACCATGCCCTCCTACTTAGTATTAATTAAAACTAAGACACCCAGCCAAATGGCATACCCTTGCTGCACATCCATCTCATAATGGGATTTTCACCACTCACTTTATGCATATATTATTTTTTAGCTACCCAATATTTTGTCTCATAAATCTAACGTTTGTTTATAGAACTTCCCTTTGAGAGGTATACACCAACAATCAGAATCAACCTTAAGTACTAGTTCTTAAATAGATGGAATCCGCTATATGCCCCTGAAATACTCAGCTAAATTCCAGGATCTTTGAAGCATAATTTGGGTAGTGGCTCTTAAAATTTATAGGCTACAGAGACGACAGTTATTCCTTTTTTGTTGACTTCCTCAATTCTTTAGGAAATGTTCTCTTTCTTTTCTCCTACACAAAGATAAGCTGTGGTGGATATTACCAGTCTGCTAATAATATGGTTATAAAGATTTACATTGAAACCTTGAAGCAGCCAAAGCAATTGCAGCTGGCCAATTCATTCTCTGCCATTGTGTGCCACCTTTAGCCCAAAGACAAATCCTTAAGCTAGGGGGACAAGGGTGGTTGAAAAACAAACTCTATCGAAGCAATAGGTTAAAACCACACTTCTTTCCCTTCTCCTAGTGTATACTAACTCACAGCTGTAACATGGAACGTTGGTAGGAAACCAAATTTCGTTCTACCTTTGTCAGGTAGCCCTAACCTTGCATACAGTGTTCCAAGTAGGAGTATTGAAAATGGCATTTAGAAAGGAATCTCCTGACCATATCATCCAAAGTTGAATTAGTTCTAAATCTCCAGGCACGTGTTACTTAAGCTCTACCAATTTGACAGAGTTAGGCACAAGGCAGAACCATTAATTATCTTCCTAGGAAGCCTAGAGTCAATGTAACTCTTTCAGATATCTTTTTAGGATAACAGCTATTATTAGTTTCATGTCTTTTATTTACATCTGGATAAGTGAGAAATTTCTGAATCCTTGATTAATTACTTTTGATAGAAGTGTCGAAAAAATTTGTTGATGCAGGCACGAGCTTGTGGGCATAGTGACGGAGGTGGGTAGTAAGGTAGAAAAATTCAAAGTTGGAGATAAAGTTGGTGTAGGTTGCATGGTTGAGTCTTGTCGCTCATGTGATAACTGTAACAAGAATTTGGAAAACTACTGTCCTGGAATGATACAGACCTACAATTCCAAGAACCGTGATGGAACCATCACATATGGAGGTTACTCTAATTTCATGGTTTGTGATGAGCACTTTGTCGTTCGCTGGCCTGATAACCTACCTCTAGATTCTGGTGCTCCTCTCTTATGTGCTGGGATCACAACTTATAGTCCCCTGAGATATTTTGAACTTGACAAGCCTGGTATGCACGTGGGTGTAGTTGGACTAGGCGGTCTTGGCCATGTAGCTGTGAAGTTTGCGAAGGCTTTTGGGGTCAAGGTGACAGTAATTAGTACATCGCCAAACAAGAAGAAGGAAGCCATTGAACATCTAGGGGCAGACGCGTTTCTGGTCAGCCGTGACCCGGATGAGATGCAGGTACCTGCTTTTTTTATCATAAATGTTGACAATGTTGTTACCATTACAGCTTTATGGAGATTCTTTAGTGTAATAATTCTGATGTTCGTGTTTAACGTGTATAGGCTGCTATGGGTACTATGGATGGTATTATTGATACTGTTTCTGCAGTGCACCCAATTTTACCATTAATTGGTCTGTTGAAGTCCCATGGTAAGCTTGTCTTGGTTGGTGTACCTGAGAAACCACTTGAGCTACCAGTCTTTCCTTTGCTTATGGGTAAGCATTTGACATAACTCAGTCTTGTTCTATGGAAAGTGGGGCAGAAAAATATACTGCACTGCATAGGTTTATTATTTTTCATTTATATCAATGATATGCATAAGTGTCTTGTGTTTGCCTACCGACTTCATCCTTTTATTTCGATTAGAAATTATAGCTAACATGGAAAATGGGTTGACAGGGAGGAAGATTGTGGCTGGAAGTTGCCTTGGAGGGATGAAGGAGACACAAGAAATGCTTGATTTTGCAGCAGAACACAATATAACAGCAGATGTTGAGGTCATTCCAGTGGACTATGTGAATACTGCTATGGAGCGTCTGCAGAAAGCTGACGTCAGATATCGTTTTGTCCTCGACATTGAGAAAACGCTGAAAGCTGCCTAATCTGTGTGCCTTTTTGGCTCCTGAATTTAGGTTCCTTTCTTAAGAATGTGTTATTGTTAGTTGAGGGATGGATGTCTAGTGTTGTTCATGTCTCATTCTATTATGGTTTAGATTTTGTTGGTGCAAAAATGTGTTCCTTCTGCGTTACAGGAACCAATGGTCTTGGATTAGTTTGTCAATTTCGACTTTTTGTCTCCTTGGGAGGATATTATATTAATTCTGGTCTCCTTGTGAGAGAGTGACCTTATGTCGGTAATTCATGGTTCTTCATTATCTGCAAATGGCGTTTTTTTCCTACCCACAGTTCGCATACTGATTTAAAATGCCAAAGATTTCGCGACATTTTGAAGTAGTTGACGTCGTTGCTTGGGTACTCGTTTGAAGGAGAAAAAAATTCTCATTTTATTATCACTTGAAAACTTCAGTACAGAAACGGGTAGCTAAAAGTGATAATACAAGTAATTGTAGGCAATTATTTGGTTTTTGAATTCTAGTCACACTCATCTATTTGTCTTTCTTTTTTTCTTTTTTTAAATAAAGTTATGCGTTGATACAAATGAAGAAGGGCAAAATGGACCTGGCACATTTATGCACAATGATTTTTCATGCCCTAATTATTTAGCCAAACGCCATTTTAGATCAAAGTTGCCTTTTTGCCTCCAAGTCAGTGTAGTTAGGGGAGCAAAAGTCCTTGGCAGTTTAATTTTCCAGTTATTCTTCCGTGTCAGATTTGTTATATGATATCACATTATAGAGAGAACCATATAATCAAATTTATCATGCAATCTCCTGCAATAGGCAAAGCATAAATACCATCAAGCATGAAAGAGTAGTATTCACTTCGTCACGCTAGGAAAACAATGCCAGAATGGTGGAACATTTAGGCTTAGGGTCTAATATGGAAGAATGAGTTCGAAAAGAACACTAAGATCAAATTCCATCACCGCAAATTTTTAGAAGTTAGAAGGTTAAATTATGAGACTATCGTAAATCTCATGGGTGATCCAAGATTAAGGAATCTCCTGGGATGAACCGAAAACTCAGGCATCTTAGGTTCGAAGTGTCTACAGTACTTTAAATATTTACCACCTTTTTCTAGATTGTGATTCATTTAAGTTATTTCTTCTCTCTGTGGGCGTAAAAATTAATTTTAACAGAGACATAATTACCTCTAAAACATCCCCACATCACCCAAAACAGTGCAGTGGGGTTCATTTGTTTTGCATACCTGAGCCACCAGTAGCGATACATGTAAGACAAAATATAGACTATACAGTACCGATAGAAAGGTACACATTGTGTAGAATGTAGATATGAGGAGGCATTTCTTCCAACAACTGGTGTGCAAGTAAAGCAATTAAACATATCCAAACCTACAATTAATTCAGACTCTGCTAAAAAGATTTCTGAGAATATTAGGGAACGGCACAACCACCTTAATTTTAGTTGATCTAACTGCCTCAGAGAGAGAAAGGGAAAGGGAAAGGGAAAGGGAAAGGGAAAGTTAAAATAAATTATCCAATCTGTAAATATAATAAAGCAATAATAATTTAGTATAGAATATAAGTTTACTTATTTATGATACCTTTTTCAGAAATATTGGAAACCTTGTGTTGGGACATTTAGGAAGGAAAAAAAGACAATCGCTAATAGTAAGTAACCTTTATCATGTTGGAACTGGAAATAGATATAAATAAATAAATACCCAATAAAATTGTTTTGTTTTGTGAATTTTTAACTTGTTTTAAAAAGTAATAACGAAATCTAAATTCTCCTACTTCAAGAAGTAGTCTAGTAGGAAGTATTTAAGGGATCATCTAATAATTTCTTATACCCAATCTTATATGTTTAAGGTCTTCCTCATTTGAATTTAATGTGGGATAAGAATCGATTCCATAAAAGATTATATGAAATGGAAAGAATATAATGCGGTATCCCTCATCCCTCCCTTTTTTACTTCTTTATTTACCCGAAAAAGAATAAAAAAAACAAAGAAAGAATGATTGTAATGTTGCAATAGAATTGGTTATTTACATATTTCTTCAACCATGCCCCAAAAAAAAAATAGTAATAAAAAAAACATATTTCTTCAAATTACAAATAATAATTTAAATTAAGGCATTACCTAGTGGCCCAATTGATAGAGCGCTCATCTTTTCAAGTGGGAGTGCCCGAATTTGAGTCCCCTCTCTCGATGGTTGTCAAGGAGAAAAAATTAAATTAACAACCAAGGAGAAAAAGTTAAATTAACAACTTGACATTAACTCATTTAATTTTGGCCTATCAAATATGACATAAATAAATGAAAGAGACACAACCCGTAAGTATAATAATACTAAATATTTACCCCCAAGGAGTTGGGTTAAGTCGGTAAGTCACTTGACCCTGGTGCCTCCAAAAGCATCAATAAGTCACTTGACCCTGGTGCCTCTAAAAGCATCAATAAGTCACTTGCCCACTGGTGCCTTTGAAAGAATTAAATTTAAGATTCGATTCCTTTTGAGTGCGAACAATTCTTCAAGAAAAAAAAAAATAAATAAATACTAAATACTTAGCACAGATTTTTATTTTCTTATTTTCTAAGTCATCAAATTATCTACCATCATTTTCACATCTAAAAATCCAAAACTTATAAAAGAATTGGAAAGTATAACAGAGTCATGTTGTTCTAGAGGAGGATTTATTCCAAAATCAATATTTATTTATAAGATAATGTAAAGTGGAACTCGAACATGAATTTCATTTATCATATTTGGCGTGTGTGAGAGGAGTTCAGTTAAGAATTTTGTAGAAGTACTTGACTTTAAGGTTCCATTTATTTCACGTAAAATATTTTTTAGAAATTATTTTTCTTATTTTATGATGTTTGGAAGACTCCAAAGTTAAAAAATTATTTTTCATCTAAATTAATCATTTTATTCCAAATGAATGAAAATGATTTACCAAAAAAGTTTTCATAAGTCATTTTTCACAAGTTACTTTAGATCCTAATTATTCGTATTCTTATTAAACTCCTATGTCCCTCTAACAACTAATTTTTTCAGTTATCTCAATCTAAAAATCTAATATTCAGTCTTCTCTCTATATGTATACATAAATTGAGAAGAAATAGAAAGAGAGTGGGACACAAATTTGAATTGGTCGAGGAACAAATTTGGGTTGAGATCATGTTTGTATAAAGAGAAAAACAAAAAATAAAAATATATTTTACATAAAATTAAATATTTTACAAAAATATATATATATTTTAATCTAAATAAACAGCGCTTAAAAATATTTTTAAAATTGAAAATACTCCGCACATGCTTAGGTTTATTTTTTATGTTTTTTTCCCTCTCTTGGCATTTTTCCACAAGTTGCTTTGGAGTAATAAATCAGGAGGAGGCCTCACGCCAATCACATGAGGATGTTTCACAGAACCTAGCCTAGTATTTAAGACTATATTTTTGTACTACTCACCTTCACAACCAACTAATGGAAGCTACAAGTACGCGTGGAAACCACAGTCAAGAAAGCGACTTCTCATAACCATGCGAAATGACAGAAGCACCCTCCAATTCGTACAAACTGACACATGTCACGCTCGGCCGTACTCTTCGGAGTCTTTGGGGACTAAATGAAGGTCGGAACAGACAATTCTCGCAGAGCCCCAGCAGACTGAGAGAGAACGGACGTGATGAGACCGTTAAATCTGATTATTTTTCACATTCAGTCCATCAGGTGACACACAATAGACGCGATTGCGACATATCATTTGTCAGGCCCTTGTATAGTTCGTAGAATCCGAATTCTCTCAGTTATACAGAATATCACCTCACCAATTAGGGCTGCCCCAATTCAACCCGGTCCTAATCCAACTTTAACCCGAATTCGAGTTAGACTGGATCAACTTGAATTGCATCCAACATAGATGGAGTTATAACCTGAACCAAATACTTTCGAACGGGTCGGATCGGATTCATGGATTGTTGTTGTTGTTTTTTTTTTTTTTTTTTTTTTTTTTTCTTTACTGTTAAAATTTTTTCTTTTTTATTTATTAAAATTTACTGTTAAAAGTGTTTTTACTTCAGATTGGAGTGAGAGAGCCAAAATTTGTTATAAGCATAATATTTTGTAAAAAAAATGAAACACATCTTGTGAACGTCCTTTTTTCCATAATTTCATACTTGAAACAAAATTTGGAAATATAATTGACTTTAATATATCCATGCGGTATTAGAATTAAATCTTGGAAATCAAATTTTATTTTTTAAATGATATACAAACAATATCCAGCTTGAGTGGTAAATATAAATATAAGGGTAGAGGTTTGTCAAAAGGATACACAGATAAATTTACTCAATTTTTAGACAATAACACCCCCTTGTTAGATTTGACCGCCAAACAGAGCCTAAAAACATGTTAAAAGTCTAATTTGCCCTACATCATTTGATTAATTTTAAAACTAAAATATCAAAAAATAACTAAATGACCTAATTGCCCTTTTCCTTTCTCTCTCTCTATACATCAATATATCCATAAACCCTTCCTGTAATTGCCCTTCTCTTCTTTCTCTCTCTATACTCCGGCTGTGAAATCATCTGGCGAAAGATGAGCACAGTGGTGGTGACACAACATCTGCCTTACGGTGGCACAACGTGACCCACATGTGTGGTTCTGCGGCGATGGCGAACCCTTGAAAAATCCAGTTCACATCCTCAGTGCCGGAGCGCCGTTGCCTACGGCGGTGCTATTTAGACCGAGTCATTGGGTTTTATAGTGACGTCTTTGACGACGTGAGGGCCCACTTCATCGATCACAAAAAAAAGGATCTTGTCGTTTCGTCCGAGTCCCTTCGGTTTAAGCTTAGATCTCGCCGGCTTCTATGGATGGTTTAAGTTTAGATCTTACCGAAGTTGCAGTTTGTTCGTCAATATGAACTGGGTTTCACAAGGTAACAGTTCTTGATTTGTGGATTCAAGTCTTGTGGAAGCTTGTTCCTGCCCTATGAATTGAGGCTCTCAGTTGTTTTTTATTCTGAAAATGGTGGCCATATATTAATTGAAATCTAGATATAGAGAGAGAAGAGAAGGATGAGGAGAGAGAAAGTTAGGGTTTCTGTTAATCTTGATTTGTTTGTTTGTTTTTTTTTTTTTTTTTTTTTTTTTTTTGTTTAATGAAATGTTTAATTTGGGCTTTCGGGTTAGGTTCGGGTTGAACCCAACCCAAACCGAATAAGGTTGGGTTTTGAAAAAACCAAACCCGACTGAAACCCGA